TCAATCCCCCGATGCCCGCGACTTCTCGGTAATGGCCTCGTCGTAACGATTCGCCTGGCTGTAATTTCTGCCCTCGGGCGATCGACATCCTTTGAAAATCCACGGAACCGCTTTCGGGGCTAGCCTCGAGAACAGGGGGCGGGGGGATTTCGTGTTCGAATATGGACGAAGAGACAATCGAATCTGACCAGCGCCATCGAAGAGCCCATGGCGACCCGTTCAGTCTGCTGGACTCTGTTCATTTTTAGGGGTCCTCATGCAGACGAGGAGTCACGCTTCTGACGCAGATTGGCCGACAGACACTTTGGCGAGAACAAGGAAGTTGTTCTTCGCTTCGGAGCCTTCGAAGCGTCCGCGAGTCGGTCGGAGACCGAGGGTGGACTCCTCTCGCCTGTCTTCTACTGATGATGCCGAGGCTTGCATTTTAAATGGACACTTTTGCAGGTGTTTCGCCGATTTCAGTTTAGGTTAGGAATGGCAGACCGACAGTCGAAAGAGGACAAATCTTCTCCTTTGGCCTATCCAAATAACAAGCCGTTTTGTAGAGATGCGGATTAATAAAGATCGAAGCACAAGATCGTGACTAGGTCTGCTGTTGGTCTCCTCCGCGGTTAGAGCAGGATTTTGGGTCATTCTGATGGTCGAATGGGATAACGGCATCTCGTCTGTCTCTGTGCCAAAGATCAGCGTACAACAGTTTGTGACGTTATAATCGAACACGGTTTTGCGCGTGTCCTTACAGAACACGCGGATATTTCTTGTTTTGTGTTTATGTGCGTGCAACACGGGACACGCAGGCGTTGCTCATGTACAGTATTTGGCCAATTACGAAATGAGCGTTTATTTAATTGGCTTTAATATTGATCTTCGTTTGTAATCACTGGGAAGTTCCCTTAAAGATGTTCATTCCGAAATAAGAATGACCTCGAAGTGCTGAGTGGGAATACTTGCACGATCTTCGGTCACTCCGGGCAGATTTCTGGTCGCTGCCTCAGATTAGGCTGTCATCTGTTTCTTTCGCCCTGTGTGATGGGGCGAACAGTTGAAAATGTTTGAGCGACTTTTGAACATAAAATTAAACCCTAGTCAAGATTCGAACCGGTTACCCCTGGTGTGACTTGCGCGCTCTTTAATCAGTCCGAAGTTGGACGAGACGACGTGCCTGACCTCGCGTTGGCGTCGCAGGGCAATCCAATTACGTGTCTGCCCTCGGTCACAATCGCCACGCGACTCTAGGAACAGGCGTTCTTTAAAGCCAATAGCCGTTTAGTCGAGAAACTTCCCACGTGCTACTGAATCCAATCGCTCGTTTCCTTTACTCTGACTCTCGCATCTGCCCCTAGGACACATTTTCCAACTTTGCGTGACTCGGTCTTCACAGGACTCGCCGTGTGTTTGGGTTCGATTGAAGGAAGGCGTCACGTGGCCACCGCGTGTCGCCCGACCGCCATCTTTGTCTCCCCTGACCTACCCGAATCTCGACGGTCGCCGGATCGATAGTGCTGCCTCGACTACAGGAGGTGCTCTTGAGAGGGACGTTTCGGAGTTTCTGCAGCCTTTGTTTAGAGCCACCGCGTGCCGGCGAGATTTGAACGAATTTCCAGTTTAAATTTTGCTTTCGTAATTTTGCGATATTAATTATTCCGCGAAAGTATTTGTTCAGTACAAAGTTTTTATTTCGAAATTGAAATTCCGTCACTGGTAAGAGAACTTTCTCACTAAAGCCATCGTCGTTAAGATTTACGTTCTACTTGCAGGAGCAGATTTAAAATGTCATACAACATTATCGTAGTTTGTACGCATTTAAATGGAGTTTATATTTCAGCGTTTGCAATGGTACTTCGTCATTCCTGATAATGACACTGGGGTTTCTTGGCCCTTGGGTCCAACAGGAAAACTATTCTGGCCCGAGCGAGGGAAAAGTTGTTCTGACACCGAATAAATTCCCCTCGTTTCTTGGAACTAGAATAAGATGGAATGCAGATCTTACAGGTTCACTGTCGTTTTCACAAGAGATCGCCACTGATGCTGGAGCAGTTGCATGCTACACGTTCCGCCCATCGGCTTGGTCTTGATTTTGAAACTTTAATAATATTTAGTGGAGAATACAGTTAATGAGGTTCTTCATCATGCAATTTTTATGTTCTTTCGAAGTCCGCCTGAGTTTCAATTCGTATCGAATGTCAAATTGCTGACGAAGATGTTTTAGAAGGAAATCCGACGGCCATTGAAGAGACTACTGCGCGGTCCAGTGTTAATGGAGGCTGTTGTTAAGAGAGTTGCTCGTAAATTGTGGATTGAATCTGCTTGAGGCAAACCGGGAATCCTTGAACTTCTGCAGTTGTTGTTTGTGAACATCGCCGTCCAGAATTCGATCGCTGTGTTAGCATTAGTTTCCGGTTTACTGCAGATGAACCCAGCCTCCGGTCCAGTTCTTGTCCGCCTTGACACTCGTTGTGTTCTGTTGCAGTAGTTCCAGTTGACGCCCACCCACGAGAAGATTCCTCGAGTAGCAGCAAATCCACTCGGAGGCTCATTAAAGTCGATTTCTCGAAGCTGCAGGTAAGTCGTTCCAGTTAAAATTGTAAGCGGCAGTGACGCGTTGGATGTTGCTACTTTCGTTGCCTGGTTTCCCGCTCTCTCAAAAAGTCTTGTAAAGCTTGAAATATCAGTGCGTTTCGAAGGCTCTGTCGTCCTCCGTGTTCAGGTATCGATTCTGTTGGACTCGTCGACCGAGCTATTTCCGGTCTATTCACGGCAACAGTACAGGGCGGAGTTCTGCGCAAGCGCGAGACGCCATTTCTGCTTACGAAACGCACTTCCTTGAAATGGAAAACTGTTACGGGGGTTTTGTCGTGGCCGAAGGCCTCGGCTTTTCATTGGGAGATTATCGCGTCAGGCAACTTGTCCTCTGTTGGACGGCTGTCTGGGATTTGAACCCAGAATTGGCGGGAATCGCTTTGGCTGAATGCCTCCAAGATTGGCGAAGGCGGGCGGTGCCCCTTCTGGATCATAACCTGGCATTACAACTGAGGAAAAACACGGAAGACCCCCAATCAGGATAGCTAGTTAGACCACTCGTTGCGCCGACTTGGCCGGCTTGCCCCCTCGGTTGCCCGTGGGTGACCTCAGTCGGCCCTGGATCGGCACAAGTGCCTTCCCACTTCCGGAACCAAGGGGTTCCGCGCATCAGCGAACTTCGAGTCGAAGCTCTGATGTGGTCAACGTGGAATGGAGTCCCCCGGTCCTCGTGAATTTGCCTGTTGCCAACGTATTAAGGCCCGCCAGTCGCAATGCGAAGAAACTCGGATTGCAACACTTAAAAGTTTCGGCTGTGGCTCTAGGCGGCTGAGCTGACTTGCTGAAAAACAAAAGAAAAAGCTTGCACCATAAGTTTAAATTGGCCAAGTGAAATCCAGAGACACTAGAATCGCCAATAATTGCGCTTGTAGAAAGTTGACCTGTGTTTTTGATAATTTGAGGTTTTATATCTGTCATCTGTGACGATTAAGCGAGAAGAAGCCATTACGTGTAGCGCTGTCTGCTGGCCGACACGCGAAGTGTCGGAACACGAGTCCCTCAAGCATTTGCACGTAAACACACGGATCTTTTAATAAAAATCTTAATTGTCTGGTGCGAAAATATTTGTTAAACACGTCCAGTTTTTTACCCAGAACGAGCTGTTTTTTGATAGGAAATTCATTCTCCAGTCCCAATTCTCTTGCTCCTAGCAAAAATTATTTGTCCACGACACATTTTGGCGTTAAAACGGGGCGTCCGTATGTCGAAATTCATTTCAGGCCGCATTTTTATTTATTTTTGTGTGAAAGCGAACCGCTGAAGGCAGGATCTTTGCGGAGAAACAGGCGTGCGAATAATAAATAGTAGGCCTCCATCTTCTTGGGACGTTCCCCGCTCCTCTGTGCTGGGTAATTTTCCTTTTCAAAGTCGGCAGCCCTGCCAGTAGCAACTGCAGTTGACTCCGGTGACCCCAACTAACAACGCAGTCTGTCCGAGAGTCGATGTTCGTGCTGTCTTCTTCTTCTTCCCCTGAATAGATTTCGTTGGTCTACGACCTAATATTCCGGGGAATTAATTGTCTTTGTAGTCGCTGCGTCGATTTGGCGCTAGGTGCATTTGGTGGGCAGTTCACGACTCCGGGTTCGCGTTTGAAGCGGAACTCGGCTGCGTGACTCGAACAGCCTTGAAGCTCGTTCCGAGTTCCGTATGAAAGACCTTACAGATGCCAGCTGACCGACCACGCCCCGTAGCGTCACTTGTTTCGGACCGAGCAATGCAACGGAGTTAAAGAGATGATTTTTCTCTGTTTCTTCTGTCTTCGAGTTTCTTTATTGGTCCGGCGCCTTCGTTTGGCGCTGACGTCCGTAACTGAAATGCGAGATATTCGATTCGAATCCAGACAGGGACACTAAGACCGCGAGGGTGTTCGTGGGTTGCCTCAGGGCCTCGGTTAATATTTGATTAACGCCTTTAAGCACGCCACCTGCTTCGTATTAATGGACGTCGAACTTTCAAATATCGACCGGCAGAATTTCCGCGTTTTTCATTAGTCCCTCCATGAAAACCTCGGGGCGTTCTTTTAAATTACACCCCGACCGCTCCCTTCCAAATTATACCCTTAATTCTGTCACACGACCAACTCACAGTCTAACCTGACGACGGAGGCCGCCAGTAAACCAAAAAAGTATAAAGTAAACTCCGCGTTCATGATCGTCGTTTTAAGGAGAATTCGAAGATAGCGCCCCGATGATGGAGGCACCAAGGACCTCTGAAACGTCGGTAGCCTTCTACCTTCGACTTCGCCCTCCGCTGCTGATGATTTGCGTTCACCAACTCCGCTCTTGTTTGTGGTTAAGTCTCAGAGACGTCTGTGAATGCATTGAAAACGGCCATCATAATTGACCTTTCACTCTCCAAGGTCATCATTGAAATTCGGCCCACCTAGCCGTGCTAACATTTTGGCCAACTCTCCTCATTAGTGAAGGGAGGCTCTGCCCCCTCCTCCGCCTGGACTCCGCTGTTGGGATTTTTGGTGGCGCCCTCGAAACAAGCGAAGAATTGCCGATCCACCCCGGAATTTCGAAGGGGAGTCTCGTTAGCTTTAATTGGGGGTTTCAACAAAAGCGTTATTTTCTTCAAGACTTTCGGGGGGAGACCATGCAACTCTATTTCCAAAGCACCAGGGAAAGAAGATGAAAACTGCGTTCCTAATTAGTAAACAGCAAAGCTGTTCCACTGTACGCCATGTAGGCGCTTGGGGGGAGAGGCGGTGTAGCTCCTACTCATTCTTGACCTCGGCGCTAGATGGGGGGAGTGGTCAGCGTCACGCCCCGTAAGGACCTCGGTACCCATTGGACACGAGGCTGGGTACACTTTAAGGGGACATTCTGATTTAAGAGTTTGGGCATTAAGTACATTTTGAAATTTTGTCCAAAATGATCCAGATGGAGTGCATTTACTCCATTGCCTTGGTCTGCTTTTTGTCATGACAGTTGTTTTGGAAACACGTGTTATTAATTAAACAGTAAAAGTAAAGTATTTTATTATTTTGTACGTAGCACAGATGAAAGAATCAGGAAATGAATTTAAAACTTCATGCAACTGAACTCTTGGAACCGCGTTCAGTTGCGGGCAGTCCAATTAGCCAAAGTCTCACTTGCAGGATCAATTTCCTCTCATTGCAGATGGACGATGACGAAGAAGACGACGAAGATGACCAGGCGTCTGGTCCCAGTGCAGCAGGTGACATTGAGAGCGGTGGTTGCGGAGCGTCGCGACGCCGAAAGAGTAGGAGTAACCCGTGGCACCGGACAGGTATCACACATGACGAGTATCACAGCTACGTCGACACCACGTTGGAGTGTAGGCGTCAATCAGTGAACTGATTCTGTCTTGGTGTTGTGTGCGTGCATGGCTTGTCATGCTCGTAGCGTCGGCTCTGGGGTGACCAGAATCTTTATTCACACAACAATTTTAGATTCCAGTTTCTTTCCTGGTCAGATTGAAGATTATTCGAGTGGATCCATTTCATAGGTCGTAAAGTTTGTGATAAATTGTTAACAGCAAGAGAAGGTAAATAGAAATTTGCGCATTTCATAGTAAAGATTCACATTTTTTACATTTTAACTGTTGATTGTGTTAATGAAATGTTGACCCATATTTTAATGTGTCGCTACTGTATTGGTAGTGGTATATATATTTGTTAGTCAACTGAGTGTCTCACATGCACTCCCCCTTTCCCCCCGCAGGCCTGCATTATGAGTTTCGAGTAACTAGCCGCCAAAGCAATGTCTAGGCCTTCTGCCCCCTGCCTGGAGATGGAAATTTGAATGCAATGAGACTGGTGATGAACTAGGGAGAAGAAGGTAATCTTGCGCTCATGCAAGAGCGCAGCGTTAAAGTGTCCAAGAAGTGGGAAGTCGGTGTGGAGGAACAGAGATCAGTTGAGCGACATTGCGAGAGCGTGTCTGACGTGCGATGCGGAGGACAGAAAGAGAAAGTAGTGAAGACGAAAGATTTTCAGTGACACAATAAGCAAGAAAGTAATTGACACATGTCGAGTAAATCTGCTTCTGTGACCAGTGATTACATTGCAAGTCGTTCACTGAATACTGTAACCTAACAGAAATTGGATCCTTATTTTTAATTTTGTAACATTTTTAATGTTTATATGTGCAATTGACTTCATATACTTTGTTGTTTATCACAAACTGCACGACCTATGCAAATGGACCAAGCCCAATGCCATAATGACTGTGCATTGATCTGATGATGACTGCCAGGGCTGAAACATGCGGTGGAGTGCCCCACTCTAAGTACGCTTACTGTGGTTTAGCTGTGCTCTTCAGACTTTGTGTTTTTGCCAAATACTCTGTGCACATGTTGGGAAACAGAAGTACAGATACCAAAGAGCGTGCGCACATGGTTAGGCGTGCGTCACTACCAGTGCTGTGTGCACATGTTGGGAAACAGAAGTACAAATACCAAAGAGCGTGCGCACGTGGTTAGGTGTGTGTCGCTACCAGTGCTCATCTTCTGTGCCTTCCCATTCTATTAATCTGCAATCTGAAGGGATGTCCGCATAAGTGCCATTGTCTAATTTGATGGCTGCTGAGCTGTTCTGTTTTTTGCATGGTATGCATGAAATGAGGCATATGATGCTGGGCGTATGTGTCTGTCTGTTTGCTTGCATGATTCAACTCAAGAAACACTATTTGGATCTTGATGAAATTTTGTATGAACACTGGAGACTACCCTGAAATCATACTTCAGAATTTTCTGCAAATGGTAATACCAAAATCGCAGCTGAAGAAACTTGTGAGGTGGCATCAAACTAGCGCCACTTGCAGTAGAGCCAATCACTGACGAGTGATTCTTCGTTTAGTGTAAAAAAATAAGAACATAAAGAAATTGGAGGATTAAATTCCCCATTGTGTAAAAGACCACAAAGCTAACTTGCCTTGTGACGTAGCGTTATTGATTTATGTAAGTTTAAGAAGACATTACACTACGTGATGTGTATAGTTAGAAACTAAACGTCTCAGTTACGTAAATGATAATCTTTTATGATGAAACATATCCTTGGTGTGTGTGCTGATTATTGTGTTTTATTTCCAAATCATTTTTATGTTTGTCGTCAGCACCTGGCAAGTGTGTGCCACCATTTGATTCTGAAACATGCCTGTTGGGCTTACGTGGTATCTAACAAAGGAGGTGGGGGGAGGGGGAGGACAGCCATTTAAATTACATAGGATTGATTTTTAAATATTGTATAGTTGTGAAACTTGTCAGTCACTCTGATATCTGTGTTAAGAGGCTGACCTAGACAAAGGAGTACAAGTACGAAATATTCAGGGTTCCCAGTTATGCATTTATTCAAGTGTACCGATTACAGAATAATTCAGTGTGCTATAGTTACGAAGAACACACCACGTGCTCGCTTGAAACAACACAAGTCTTCACCTTATAGTGCGCAGAAGCCACTGTACTGCAACTTCAGATACTTTGTAGTCCGTTTCACAGTTTTCCAATAAAGCAGTTTAAAAATGGTTACTAAAATAATGTATGATGCATCTGTTTTGAAACGTGGCGTTGAAACTCTGTTGACCTGTTATGTTACTGGTTATTTTGTATGATATGTTGGTTTATTGTGTTTTTTGAGAGTTGACTATTCTTCAGTCTTCTGATAACCATCAGAAGACTGAATTCTGATAGATATTGCTAATTGGCTTTATATTTTAAATATTAGTAGCAGTAGTTGGGACTGAACCAAAGATCAGTATCTGCTAATATAATGAAAATTAATCCCTACAAACTGGAATGGAATGTTATTTACAATAAATACACCTCAGACAGTGGACAGTGTGCAGCACAATTGCATTGCCATTTCTGAGAATCTTTAAGGAATCATATTTTGCAGTATTTCACAAATGTGAGCTACATCCCTCCAATTATAACAGGACCACAATTTTACAGTATTTGGTTCTGTGTTTTTAGCATATGACCTGGCAACACAGTGTCCTAGTAGGAGAGCTTCAATTCGCAGGCACACGATCGTGGTTTGTAACAGCGAAAGTGGAAGTCAGTCCCTGCCACATTCACGACCACAGTCTCGAGGCCCTACTCTTTCCTCCGCGAGCTCAGAAACGGACTCTGGAAACTTGGGTTGCACTTTGCCAGAAATGTCTTGGTCACGCAGCTCATTGCAGGATGAACTGCTACAGTCGGTATGTATGCAGAATTGACAGCGGTGTCAGAAAGTTGTAGACAGAAAATTTTCTGTAATGCCATAGATTTTGCCTCCTCCCGCCTCATTATTCTCTCCTCAGTTTTTACTTTCTTGAAATCTCATCTCCATTTTTATATTTCTTTCATGATCTGATTTTAATTTACGCTCATTATTCAATAACTAATCAGATCTATATGCAGATTTGTTTTGTGTACATCTCTGTCAAAGCTTAGCTATAGAGAACATCAGACCCCATTATTATTCAGAGTCCGTATTGTGCTGAAAATCTAATTTTTCTTGGACTGAGAGTGGCCGACTGCATCTCATGGATTATCCCTTCTCAGAAACAAATTCTTCACCACTCTGTTAAATGTTCTTCAGAATCAATTTAGAAATGAAATGCTCTTTGTCTAATATTGTTCAGACAATGGTAGAGACGGAACATGTAAAATACATGGGGGAATTACAGAATACATTATTTTGATTTAACTTTGGATTTGCAGGTAACAAGTGGGAGAATAATACTTAAATACATGTTTGAAAAGTCAGCTGTGCCCTGCATCCAATTCACTCTTTTCTAAAAATTTGCACAGTTAAATGTGCTTAAGGTTTACTTGGCGTGTATCCTATTTTACCTGAGGAAACCTTCCAATATGTTTGTCAATTTGCAGAAAAACTGGCAGCAAGCAATGGAATGCCTGTCGCTCACTCTCGAAGAAATTGTTCATATTCGCAGTGTGCTGACAAAGGCAGAACTAGAAAGCCTTCCTGTGGAAGGTCACGTGAAAGAAGACGTAGAGAAACGAAAGGTGAGACATTTTTACTTTGCCTATTTGTATAGAGTGCAACAAATTTTCAGAATATTTTCTCTTTGTTTGATATTTCTGCTCTCAAATGTGGACATTTGCTGTTATCCTCTGAATGCATTTGGTGATGCTACCTTCTTTGTTTTGGATTTCACACATTGTCTGTTTTTGTTGTTCTTAAAAATCATAAAGCCTCAAAAATCACCAAATTTCAAGATGGATCTTGTGATAAAAACAAAAGGTTTGCCATGGGAAGACCCCCCCCCCTTTTTCTGTCTGTCTCTCTCCCCCCCTCCCCCTCTCCATTAGTAGCAGTTTTATAGAAAAGTTGGAAAACTTAGCATTAACCACAGCACAACAAATACTTATCATATTTCTGACGTGCGTCTGACGTTTTTGATTTGGCCACAGGACTGACAAATTGCATGAATTTCTAAACTATCTCAACAATGCGGGACCATGTACCCACTTACTTAGAATGGAAACAAAAATGGATAATACTCTCCAATTTTATGATGTCTTCATAACAAGACAAGAAACAGTTTACACAAAACCCTCCCATGCCGGACATTTTCATTGTAACTGTCCGCTACATACAAAATTAAGAAGCTGTGAAATGGAGCTGTCGCCTGTCAGTACGTCAGGGCACAACAAGTCTCATCCATCTGTGCTACAATGTTTTAAAAGTTTTAAACATTTTAGAAGTTTAACTGCTTAAAATTTAGTATATTTTAGAAAAAATATTGTTTTGGATTGAATCAAGAATGAAAGCATTGACCATGTGGTCACATCAAAGCTGATGATGGCTGCATGTGGCCAAAATGCGTAGTTCAACAAGCACTTTGAAAGTGATGGTAATAACAGACCAGCACATAAGATGCCGTATTATACAACTGTACAGTGCTTCAGTAAAAATTTTGTTATTACTTTTTACTTTTGACCTATTGTAATTATTCTCTTACTGTTTCATTGAGGCAGCTATCAGCCATGTCCAGTCTTACTATTTCAAAACCCTTATTTGGGCTCAGAATGCCCCTGTACTTTTAAGAATGAAGTTAATATAATCTCTTACAGATGAAAAGTCATCCTAACTGATTATACAGGTAGCCCTCGATTTACGCCGGGGATGCGTTCCTGGACGAACTGGCGTAAATTGAAACTCTTTTATAACGTAAATCAGTGGGAAGTTCCCAGCACCCAAACATTGACAAGTAATATAATGGAATTACATTTAAAGCTCTGAAATAACGTAAATAAAATAAGGGGAATTTAAAAAATATATTTTATACACTTACAATCGGCAATTCGTTGGTCCCCGCGATTGACAGCAAATCTTTCATGTGACTGATGTGTACAGTCATCTCTGGTGTTATGCGACAGTTGCATTCATGTAAGACGCCGACCCATAGAAAATCGCGTAGTAAAAATAACCCCGGTAACTCCGCAGAGATGAAAGTTTAAAGCATAAGACCAAACTCGCATATGCAAAAGTTTGCATTTCACAAACAGCTTTTACCTATTCATCAATCTCATTGGAGCAAATTCGCGTTAACGAAAAACAGGAAACTGCAGAGATGACTGTAAGTATAATATTTATTCAAAATCAGCGATGTAAGAATTATGATTTAGAATACGAATCAGTATGAGATACATTGTAAAACGTTATAAATAATATTTATCGACTCTAAGGTACGATTTCACAACCATGTTGACCACATATTTTCACATTGTATCAAGTTGCTGGGTCTTGTTCGCACATTAACCTTTTCGTTCTCTTCTCTCGATTGCCTGTATGTGTTATATGTAACCTTAGTTAGATCCAAGCTCGAGTACGCCTCGGTCGTTTGGAATTCTATTACGACTACTGATGCCAACAAACTGGAACGTATCCAGCAGAAGTTTGCAGCCCTTTGCTGCTATCATCTCCTCCCCCAAGTGCATTACAGCTACGCTGATGCTTTAGAGTATTTAAAACTCCATACCCTGCGTAAGAGAAGGCATTGCAGTGATGCACTGTTCCTTGCGCAGGTTTACCGCGGCTTTAAATGCTGTCCTTCCCTTCTGGAAGATGTCGGTCTCCGCATCACTGCTCGGAATCTGAAAGATTTTTCTGTGTTCAGTTTTAGCCCTTTCATCAAAAACAGTCCTTCTGCTAGATGCGCATCAGCTGCTAATGTCATCTGCAGGGACTTGGACATATTCGAGAAGAAAATTGTCACACTTCTTCACATTCTATAATAGTATAATTTACCCCCCCCGTTTTTATCTGAAGAGGAAGGAAAATTCATCCTTTGAAACAAAGTGATATTTAATGTCTTCAGAATTTTAATACTTATAAAACTGACAGTGGATTAAGTTCCAAACAGAGACAGTCACAATGGACACTTGTGTTAAAGTCTGAAGGCTTACACCAAGTCCTGTTTCTGTGAAGTGTAAGATAATTTGGTTATTTTTACATGACTTATGGCTATAGGGGTTTTAGAACCTCCATAGCACCAGATGTTATTGCCATGGTTAATGGTTTGGTGGTACACTAGATTGATAGATGGTCAGGTGGGCTGTACGCGCGCAAGTCACAGTGACCTAATTTTCACATATTGTCTCTAAAGTTATGTAAGAAAATTTCTTGTGTTTTCAGGTTTGCTTCTTGTGTTTAAAGACGAGATTTGGAATATTTGGTCCATGGGGCCAACTGTGCAAACTCTGCAAAAGAACTGTGTGTGCCAAGTGTTATTCGAAGGTAAGGCTTTGAAAAACTTTGTTCTTATAAACTACATAGTTGAACAAATGTAAGAGGAATTAACTGCAGCAACTCCTTGTAAGCTTTTCTGCTCATTGAAAATGTAGGTAAACTACTTGCATTAAAGATAATATGACCCTGATGTTGAAAAAATTGTTCATTGTTTCGAAAGTACTCGAACGTACTGATTAACTTGTTCAGTGATTTTTCACGTCAGTTACTGCGTGCCTCTTCAGAGTATGAGACGAACAACGCAGACCAATTTGCCATAACTAACATTACACTAGCAGAAGTGGATGATGTTACTCTGCAAAATAATATTGCGGAAAAACAGACTGAAATTGGAAACTTAAATTGCACTGACTCTGAGGGCAGACTAGTACAAAGCATTGGCTCTAGATGACATTACCTGCAAGGTGCGTGAGAGGTAGGGTACCAGTGACACAGGTATGGGATGGGCTTTCTCTCTAAACCTAAGTACCTCTTGTGGCTGGTGTACATTATACGAGGGTTATATTCTACTCAATTCCCCATCATCATCTTCTTCCTCTTCCTCACTACTGCTATCACTGATGCGTTGTAAGTTAACTGCAGTTTGTTCTGATATGTCGTCAGTAATACGTTCTAGGTGCAGTTTAATTAAAGAATACAATTCAGGCCGACACATTTGGTCACTGAAAGGAATGTTAATATCTGAAAGCCAGTCGATATCATAGCACTTTCTTGAGGTGAAAAAGTTGGAGACAGACGAGTTGTACATTGTGGTAAGCTGTGTTGTCCACTGCTAGTACCAGATTTAGTAGAAAGTTTGGAATTAACTCTATTTTGAGCCATGTTTTACAGTTATCAAAATTTATTTCATGATGATAATCTCCAGATCTTGTCCCCAATTTAAACATTAACAAAACTTTCACTGCCAGCATGTACGATGACGACTCTCTGTCCTTTGGAGACAGGTACCAGTAAACTGCGCTCTTAACGTCAATCCAGGCATGATCTTTTTTGTGTGAGGAGTGAATTATACATTTCATTTGTGTAGATGATAGGGCACCCATCGTTTCTGTAATGACTTACATTTCTCAAGTTTGCCAATATTTCTGCATGAATATCATCCTTTTTGCTGAGAAATTTTCTTTTCTTCACCAGGAGACTAAACCCCTAGTTTTCCAAAGAGCCATGTTTTTTGCCATTGAAATTAATTTTTTTCTTGGATACAGGTAGCAATGATTGTAAAGTAGGAAGCTCACCTTCTGTAGTGTGAAATTTGTCAATAATTCTTTGAATTACACACCAAAATCATCTACGTCAGTTTTAATTTTCCTTCATGGCTGTTTTTTTTTAAGTGTTCTGAATTCTGAATTAATTCCCCATAGCTCATGTCCCACATTGTACATTGTCAAAATGTATTGCATTTATAACTGCAGCTCTTGATACTTTCTTAAAACTTTCACACCAAATTTCAGAAACCTGCATGAAGTTACTGCTGTTACTGCGATGTTGATATTATTCACAATATAAAATTATACATGCAAAGGTAGGTGACATCTAGTGGAGTGCTGTTAATATCAGGTTTCAAGAAATGAATTTATCCATTTACCTCTCTGATTTTTTCCTGAATTTGGAACAATTAAATTATATCCGTGATCTTTGAACACAAATCGAGCGGTGCACATTATTCACTTTTCAGTTAAGTATGAGGGTTACGTCATATATGTAGCATTTAATTTTCAGAATTTTTCCCGACAGATGCGAATCCCAACGGAGCATTTCTCACGAGTACCAGTGTTCGCGCTGAGTCCTGGACTATCATCACCTGAGGAAGAGACAAAGGAGTCATTCCCTAGATCACTAATGTCACGTCTGATGGTACCCGACATGGTACGCAACAGTGTGGGGAGTGCACCTTCAAGTCCTAACTTAACTCGTGGAGAATCCATGTCAGCCCCGTGTTCTGCAGTTGGCTCCAGCATGGCAGATAGCATGGAGGGTCCACAGTCACTGCCTGCCATCAGCCCTGCCTCTACTACCACTACCACAAGTGAAAGGAGGTACATTGCTTAAACACTAAATGCTTCTCAGTGACTTTAAAGTTCCTTGATGCACCCAAACCCTCTTTAGTTTCACATATTATCAGTGACTTTAAAGTTCCTTGATGCACACATATTGGGCAAATTGATCTCTGTAGACCGAGAAACACAAGAAGACTTTAAGAGCGTTCTTGTATTCAGGCACCAGGAGTTGTTTTTCTTCCTCTTCCCCTGTGACCAGCAGAATCACATATTCTTCAGGGATATTTTTATGTGCCTTAAACAGGATCTGGAAAGCAGCATCCTATAAGTCTGGTGGGTTTGGAGTTTTTGGTGGCCACCCCTTTGCTGGTGGTTCTGCTGTCCCTCCATTCACCGACAACTTTCAATCGGTCAGCTGGAACTCTAGCCAAGACATTCTCCCTCCTTTTTTTCTTATATATAGTATGTGTGCATTCAGGCATACCATGTCCAGCGTATCTCTAAATAACTTCTGGCAATATTTACATGGCCTTTCATGTGTAATTTTCAAGTTGGGAGTTATTCCAGCCCATTCCCCCATGTTGTTATTATAATCAAGTGTAGCGATGGGCTTTGCAGTGACGTACTGAAGTGCTCCATCATGGAAGAAACTCACGATTATTACATTTCGCTTATCATTCAGTTTGAGGATCATTTGTTTGCTCTGGAATGTCATCTCTAGTTCAACCGTATGTAGCCTTGCTTGTCAACACATTCTGGAAATTCTTTTCTGTTCCTCCGTATTGCGCCATCAATGTCTGTATTTATGGCAGGAAGCATGTCACCAAGTTTGAGGCCAGTGTACCAGTTGTCTAGATAAAGGCAATTTCCTTTATCTGCTAGATTGTCTGGCAGTTCAAGCACAATTTGAGAAGAAGTCTGTTCTCCAGGGTGTTTGTCCTTTATGGTGTCAGGCATCAGTTTGTCAAAAGACACGATTGTGAGGCTAATAGAAGATTTAGCCAGACTTATTTCCAGTACCTTCAAGTAAAAGTGTTTGAGCTTTGTTTTCTGTTCTGTAGTCACGGATGAAAGCACATATGCCACAGACACTAATTAGCCTCTTTTGTTCACGGGGTTAACAAAAATTTTGGAATTATGGAGAAATAGGCTGCTTTGCTGCCCCCTAAGAACACTTAAAGGCCACTGATTTGTACACATCTTTGCAACAGACCTTAACATGCACTGGTTAAAAATTAACAGGTCTGCCCTAACTACAGATGCTGCCCCAGCACTATTTGGCAACAACAACAGTGATGATTAAAAAAAAGATGCAGACGAATCCAGGAACAGTGATATTACGACATTTAACTATATAATGTACCAAGAAAATCTGTGTGCAAAATCCTTCCCTGGCTATCAACATGTGATGAGTATCACTACCAAGGTTGTAAATTGTAGGCCTCAACCACAGGCAACTCCAAAATTTCCTCATTGAATTAGGAGCTCATTTTAGTGATCTGGTCTGTTATTCTCAAGTTCAGTGACTGAGTTGCAGCAAATTGTTGAAGTGCTTATTTTCTTTGAGGAAAAATTCCAGGAGTTCATGGAATCAAAAGAAAGTTTGTTTATTCATGAGTTTCAGGATTCACAGTGGATGTCACTTTGGATTCCTTGAACAAATTTGTCATCTTCAAGGCAAAGACCAACTCAATCAGACTCTTCTCAAATTCATTGAAGCTTTTCATATGAAACTGGCCTTACAGGAACACCAACTGAAAGCAAATATTATTCTCACTTTCCATCTTTATTAACTTCATCAGGACCTTGACTGTGGAATCTAATGACAAGAGTTCCAACATATGAGCAAGTAAAGTACAAGGAACAACGTTTTCTTCTCCTTTCTAGATAAAAAATGATGCCTCTTAAACAGAACTGGAACTGGAATTTACTGATTTTAAGTTTGCCTTAATGCCAAAAGAAGCATCATGTGACTCACTGATTTGTGTTCAAAATATGTTTTTCCCCCAAACTATTCTGAAATCATAAAACATGCTTTATTGATGTTATGTGTTTGGCAGAAATTGTTCAGCAAAATGAGAACATGAAATTACGAAATAGGGTACACCTAACTTATGAACACTTGAAGGAATGCATGCAATTCCCAACATGTGTGGACCTGTAAGTTGGTAGCATTTTTAATAATAAACTACCATGAAGTTTCAGTAAATTGCCATTTATAACCTTTCCGCCCATGAGTTCATGAAAAAGGAGAAGGCGGCTCTATGCTGTGAAATGGTTAAGAACCCTGCTTCAAATGGAGTTTTTTTTTGTCCTTTTAGGAAATTTTATAAAAATGCCTAAAAATTATCATGACTGCTTCCTTCTCGAATCTCTCAAACTTGTAATGAATTATCACCATAAACCTTCTGATATTTGCATGAACAATGGAATAAAAAAAATATTTTGATTTGACTGATGTTTTCCGTCAGGAGTAGGCTCAATCGTTCGAAGACTGTCGGGAGACCGGACACAAAAAAGAAGTTGAAGGGGCTGCAAATGAATGTGTGTCATGACTGCAAGACGATGGTGATCCAGATTATCAAGTCTTCACGTGCAAACCGCACCAATGCTATCCGCAATCTCACCCTCAACCTTTCTCCTGTTTATTAAGAAGGAAGAAGCCTGTCAGTACTTGTAAATACTCTGTACTAATATATTCCACTGAAGCCATTTGAGGTCTATGAACTACCTTTTATAGAGTGTACAGGATACTAAGGTTCCTGGCATATAATCTCATCCCTGAATGCATGGAGTCCTAATAAGAAAGGAGAAATGCAGTGGAATTAGTGAATTTAAAAACATCATATTTTATCATCCTCTTCATATTCTCATTTGTGAATTTAAAATCTCATGATGTATAAAAATAAAGTAATTTCCTTACTCAAAGTGGAAAGATGTTTGTTATCTTGTTAAAAGATGTAAATAATATAATACAGGGAAGTAGAAAACTGATGTGGGGAATAATCCAAATAAGAAAAGAAACACATTTTATGTCATATATTTTCTTCAAATATCTGACATCCTGACAGAGACAAATTCCTAAGTTATCAATACTTTCCTCAAATAAACATACATCAAGCCATTCTTACCATATTCATGTATGTTTTACTGTACTTATTCACCTTGTGTAATTCATGCTTCATTACTGAAATAATTTATATCTGTAAGAAGGAAAGTGAAGTATGAAATATTTTCAGTAATTAACTATGGAAATAATGCCTTACTAAGTGCACAGTAATTTACCAAACACAAATTATTTGAATCTCTAGAGTAATTTAAGTATTTAATTTTAATAATTTTCATACAGGCACATGATGCATCAGTTCAACTCTGTTAATTTAATTTAATTGCAAAAAATAATATTGCATTACAAAATATACTGGATTTTTCTTCTAAAGTAAAACTGTCCCACTATTCGCCATGTAGGCGGGTGGGGGGGTATAGCTCCTACTCACTCTTAACCTTAGCACTAGATAGGGGTGAGTGGTCAGCGCCATGCCCTGGCCACACTTTACACCATGGAAAGGACGCTGGTACCCATTAGATAGGAGGCTGGGTGGGCCCCAGAGCTGGCCTGGACCAGAGGCTAGACGAAAAATCCGCTGCCCCTCTTCTAGTCCATGAAAAAGTAGAAAATGCAGCAACACAGAACTCAAAATTAATTTTAAAACAATAAAACATTTTTATGTGCACACAACTTCAAAGGGTGTTTTAGTCAGATGCCAGAATGGGACTGTCATTAAGATAACAAATGATATGATGAACAGACATTAGAAATTGCAGTTTCTCTTGCATATATACACTTAACAGTTCACTGCATGTCAGTCATGATATAACTGACGTCTTCACGGCCTTCCTCAGATTTCAGATATTGCATGGCAGTAATTTTATTCTGGTGATTTTGTTTATTGTTGCTAAAATGAAACATCTGTGGGAAGTACCAATTTTGATCATGATGATAATCTGAATTTTGGTGCCAGGTAGATTCATAGGTAGATGCCAACATTTTGGAGAAACATACTGCCTCCATCTTCAGGGCAACATGTATCTCCGAACAGTGACAGCTAGTTATGAGTGTACATGGCACAGAAACCCAAAACACCAACACCAGAACCTCAAATCTCGCACAATAACGTTTTCCCCCCCTCTAAATTATGGTTTCAGTAAAGTTCGAACATAAAGTCATTAAATAGTAATTGAAATATTCCAAAGTTTGAGAGTTCTTTAACCACTACATTTATACATTTCCATTTCATAAAATCACACTAATGAATCTGTGAGAGAACATATTATTAATTGGTGATTATTATGAATTACTGTAAGACGGAAGATAAACTGTATGCAGAGGTAAAACTGTTTACAACTGGATAATAAATTTTTGTTATCAGTTTTCATTCAGATATTATTTAAAAGAAAATTGCATGTCATTCGTTAGTTTATAGTGTCCTGGTCCACACCATATTATCTGAATTATCAGAAGCTTTAGTTTTTAATATTGACATATTTAGTAAATTATGATTTCATAAGTTTGCTCTACCCTAGCATGGTTACTCAACTGAGTATGATTTTTTCATAAGTTACAGTGATATAATTATGCACCAAAACACAACTGCAGTGTCTTTGTGCATCAGCCTACACAAGCAGCAACATTATACTGACTGAAGTTAGTTTCCTGAAGCTTTGTGCATTGTAGGGACACATTCTGGTAAGGGATGAATTTCACCGTACTTCTATAAGAAAGGCTAAGTTATTTTAAATTGTCACTTACTTCGGAGAATCTGTAAGTCCTAGTTGTAACGCAGAGGTTAAGTTTTTATCTTGTCTCTTGAAGTAAAATAGCAAAATGAGATTCCTTTTCTGTGTATGAAGTAGTCAGATTCATTGTACCATTGCCAAACCCAGTAACTGTGATGATGTAATGTTGTAATGTTTCCTTCCTTGGAAATTATTTATGCTTTAATGGTCAATGTTACATGAAAATGACATTTGTATACTTATTCCGAAACTGTACTAAATATGATTTAAAATTATAAAATCATTCTTGAGTTAGCTAGTAGACATTACTCAGAAGCAAAATGTTGTTTGTTTGTCTGTTCTTGTCTCCAAAAAAATTATGATTACCAGACAATTATTAAAGACAGATAATATATATGTGTGCAGATTTAACACTGTAAAGTATTAACTTCTTAAATAATTACTATATGGGACAATCTAGTCATATTAGTCTTTAAAAATTTAATTTTAAATATTGCATTTTGTGTATGAGATTTTAGTTGACAGTAGAAACTTACATTTGTAACCAAATCCTTTTCAGAAATTATAAAAAAAATGTTACAGACAATTTTAGCAAAGTGAAATCATTGAATGTTTGTGTTCTTCCATAAAATAATAATTATTCAATAAACTGATATGAAATGTCAGGTTTAATTTCTTTGTCATTGTATACATACTATTTTCATCTTTTAATATTCAGAATTGCAAAATTTTGAAGTAAAAATATTAGACAGCAGAGCAACTCTTAAGATTACAATTTTAAAACTTGCTAAAAAGAAAAATGTTATTCTGATAGGACATCAAACTGTAGGGCCTATTGTATTGTAAATGTACTTAAAACATTTCCAGTTGTTGTACAGATATCACTCAACATTAATAAACTGCCCAGTCTATAATTCTGTATAAAGTTTTCAGCTTGTAAAAAGTGTTACTCTCAGTTCAGGAAAATGTGTTGTCAGTTGTCGTATCAACACACTGTTGAAAATGGCATACCACCCTATAGACCACAATATGAAGGACCTTACTTTAACTATTAAGAGTTTGTGTAAAATACATTATCTGTAGAACATAAGTAGCCACTTAGCATGTAAGTACAAATTAATATCAACTGTATGTATAAATTATACAGTAGGAAATAATAATGATTAGTGTATATTATCCTACAGTTGTATCAGTTGGTTTAAAACATGTTACTGTTTCTTAGATATATCCAGATTCAGTAAGTATTAGTAAGCCTGTGCTTCCCGGTGCATATTTAGAGAGTGATTTCAGTACATCATCTTATGCAGAAAAACATTTCTAATTATCCTAAGTAATAACAATTTATGAAAACTCAGGTTTGTTTAAAAAAAGTGGAAGTGTACAATACAATCATATCATTTTCATAAAATTACATATTTGTCATTACAAAATGTAATTAACCTAGAATTCAGTTCAGTGTCACACTTTTCTCTAACATGTTTTATTTTACTACCAGAAAGTCAGTTTCAACAAATAATTTCTGAAACATAAAAAACGCCATATTTCCTGGAGAACTTGACACAGACTTGAGGCGAGAACTTGAAATCCGTTCGCTTGAGACATACAGATACAGTTTGACTGAAATGTTGCTTTTATTGGGAAACAAAACAGGCACATGCTAGAAATATCTGAAGCATGAGTATATGAACGTTTGAAAACATGGCAGTATGCAGAAGAAATTTGTACTTCATTTGTTCCTGAATCGCTCAGATGCAGTGTCTTCTAGGATGCTACACCATGCCTGGTAGAAGTTCATTCACATTTCAGCAGTGCTTACTGCCTCTGCTATGAGGATGAAGAGGCCACATTGCCTTGATAATGGAGGCGGTAAGCACTTCTCAAATATCTGTAATCTTCCAACAGACTACATAGCACAGCACCCCAGAAGATAGTTGTCTTCATACTCGCTGCTGTGAGAATATGATATCTCACAATATCTAATTCTGTTTAACATTTTTTTGACTTTCATTTTTCATACATACAAATATTATATTATATTAGAGTATTATTTCAAAGTTCATATAAAAATGACGCTTGTTCATAATATGTGACAGAGGCATATATAACTGTCGAGTCCTTTGGCTTTGAAACGTGACGTAGGTTTGGCATAAATATATGTATACTGTGCCTTATAACAAACAGGATGTGGATCTAAGGCAGGGAAGGGGTGGAGGAAGGGAGAAAATGTGAATTGTCCAGCAGGATGCATTCTTTAAAGAGACAGCCAGTTGGTGATGTAATCGGAAAACAATCCTGCACATGGCAGAGTACTATTTTGCCACCATAAACATGTCATGCCAGTACCAGAATGTACTTGCGTACAAGATAATTTTTGATCCTCATTGAAATGGAGAATTATGCTGATTGCTGAATCACTGTAAGTTATGCGAGGGAAATAAGAGCTCGTACGTACGGTGTGCTACTTGCCACATGGTCTGTTAATCAAGCTTGTAGTTTGTGGTGACTTGGCAATCACGTAGTCTTGGATAGTGCCACTACTCTCGGAATTATGTTACGAAATTATGATGATGTCTCTGTCAGAAAACAGTGGGAAAACTGAACAGGATTAAAAGTGAGATGCTTACAAACTGTATGTATCATTTAATGTACTGATGTGTGTGTTTTGCTTTTCACTCAGTCTCTTGTTTCAGCAACCAGATTGTCCCATTGTAATGAATCTAAGGATCTTTGAAGTTAACTGTTGAGTCCTTTGGGTTTGAAACACCATGTAGGTTTGGCATGAGTGTCTTCCTAAACAAGGTATTACAGGGTGATCAAGAAGTCACAACCCATTCCTGACACGTTCCATTTTAAAAAAAATTTAATTGAAATCAGAAAAAAAATTATTCGGTGTTGGAAATGTCTGCCGCGTTCTGCACTGCTTGCATTCACTCTTCATATTTGATGCAACCCGGTGAAGAGTTTGAGCAGTGACCAGAAACAGTTCACCAGACAAGATGTACCGATTTGTTTGGCACAGGAGAATCGGGAAACGCATTCTGACAAATTAAGTAAGAACAAGATACCACATAGTGTTGAACAATGAACACTCATTGCACTTTTGAAAAGGACATCCTTGGACTTAAGGTAACTGATGGGCTGGTGCAAGCAGGTTACATGGGCTCTTGTGTAATCACAGTGATGTGTGTTTGTTAAGCCAACTAAATTGTATTGAATTGCAACCATCAATAAATATTTTAACATTGCGTGGGTCATGTGAACTTCCAGTCACTCTGTACAACCCTTAATGCTGTGTACTGTAATGACTCAACCTTCATTGCCATCTGAAAGCTACAGTGTGCTCTTGTAGGTAACCAGTTTGTGGATAATCCAAGATACTTTACGTTTTGCTCTCATGCCATGTCACAAATTACTTAAATTTACACTGGCTCTTACTATATTTATTTTAATAAATTTTAACATTTGTTTGCACTAGTCATGACAGATTGAATTTTTGACATGGCTGTAATGTCATCATATTTGAAGTCCCTTGTACCCATTTACTGAAGTGGAGTGTCTCAAGTGTCACAGTAATCTCTTGTTGTTTTTTTCTTTTTGTGTTTGAAAGTGTATCAGCAAGTTATATTCACCTTAAAATGTGACCATCAACTGAAGCCCTCCAATTCAGGTGTGGTTTTGCAGGATGGCAGTGGACGGTCCTGGCCAAACTATCTGGTATCAACACTACAGTGTTCCTTTTTAATACAAAATATTTCCACATTCTTCCCAAGTCTCATACAAGTAGATGCACTTACACTGTCATCAGCAATTCAGTTGGTAGCAAGTTTGTCTACAGTGCAGACAACTGGGGTTTGATTCCCAATAAGGTGACTTTTTAATCACTGTGTTTATGATGACTTTGGAGGTCATACAAATTCAGTTATTTTTATAAATCTTTGCATCATCAAAGTAGGCTATGTGAAACCCTCTCCAAGTCTCTGGTACATAAATCAGCTATGCTGATGTTCATCCCAAAGAAGAACTGAAACACACATGGAAGTTTCAAAACATGTAATAGAATAATGTATAAGGGTACAATTTTATTGGGTATTTTTGCAAATACAACACAATCATTAGAAAAGTATGCAGACACGGGACCTGGTACTTAGAAAGATGATCTTCACACCAACCCTAATCCCATAACCTAGCCACAGGCTGTAGCAGCATCTGCTCCCAAACATTGACCACTTGGTGACCTCTGGCCTTTTTACCCACTAGTATGTAGGATAAAATATGCCTGAACAATGGTTGAAGGGTGGAGGTAAGTCACATGAGACCTGCTGTAAAAGCTCAGGTCAACTGCCACCAGAGGTCAGTAACTTATCAGCTGTATGAGGGAAAAGAACAAACAGTGGAGTGTTAAACTGCAATCCTTGGATGGAGAGGACGAGATGGCACGAGACGAATAGGATTTCCAGCAGCATCACCCCCATTACTAGTTTGTTTACTTAATGGCGCTTTTTCAGTAGTGCACACTATATAACGTTGAACGAGACAAAATGTGGAAAGAAGCAGTTGTGGCCTAATTTAAGGCACTATCTCAGCCTGGAGAGACCACGAAAAACCCAAGTCAGGATAGCCAGGTCTCCTGAATACGAAGTGGGAGAGCTAACCACTTGGCCGTGACGTTTAAACCTGTAGGTGTTATGGTTTTATTTATTTATAATTTGGATCTTTAAAAATGTTATCTGTTCCTAATTGAGATAGTTCAGATTTGTAACATCTAGTTTGACAGTTGGCCTTTAATTTATCAAAAAGTGAAGATTCATGGGTTTCTAAAAAAGTATTTTTTATGCACATTGTTAAACTCAAATATATCACCAGTTTTCAAGCTGGATTTGCTATTACAAAATTGTACATGCATAACTATGCATGTGATGGGAACTAACATAATATTCCACAACATGTTTTTTTGTAAATAAAGTTCAAGAAGTTGCATTAAGTTCTCGTCCATGCTCATGTACGAGAAATCACTTCTCAGCAGTTTGCTGCTGGAATTTGTGTGTTGCAGACAAGTTTTCAGCATCAGTAACATTATAGGGGGTCCGCATTGGCCGCGCGGTCTGAGGCGTGGGCCTTGTGCCGCTTAGTCGCTGGGACCGTGGGTTCGAATCTCACTCAAGCCATGGATGTTTGTCCGCGTTCTTCTGCATTGTGCTGTCCTGTATACGGGTAGAGGCCTTGCGACGGGCAGATCCCTTGTCCAAGGAGTCCTACCGAATGTCTATAGATCAAGCCAATGAAAAATTGGGACCCGCAGTGCTCAGGCACTTGAAGAATGAGTTGTTCCCAGTAACATTATAGGTGTGGTCCTTGGAAAATAAATCAAAAAGGCTCAAGATTCTGACAGTTCTTCTAAAGAGCTGGTAAATTAGGAAAGTTCAACAAGAGTTCAAAGCCTCAAATTACATGGTACAGGCATCCATGAAATTAGTGGCTGAGAATGGGATTTTGTCAAGCCCAAATGTAAAACAAGGCAGTGTTGCATTCTGACACCTAAAATAGTGAAACAGTTTTGTGCCAGGGACAAGATATTACATTCTGTGTAATGCAAATGAAGCCTACTTAAGTACAAAGGAAAAGATGCCTGAGAAGTTGTTTGGTTTTTCAAAGTTTGCAGACAGAGCAAATAAATTGTTGTATAGGGTGGAAAGAATGGTATGCATGCAGTTCAGACTTCTTGTAGTGGGGGAAATATCAGTGTATAGCTGAATTCCAGTTTAGTAAACTCCTTTTTTATATTTACTGAGTTTTGTGTTTGGCACACGAAGATTATATCTGTATCTTGTTCTTATATTTTGGATATCTGAGTTTGACATTTTTCTATGTTGTTCGCTAAAAATGATAATAATGAGAGCAAGAATTTTCTGGTTAGTGGAAGAATATTAAACATCTTAAACAGTTCCCTACATAAGGCTCTCCTTTTAGTGTCTGCCATTATTCTAATATTTTTCTTAACTTTCTTGCTGTCTGTTGAGTTTTCCCAGAAAATAATTCTAATAAAGAATTATTTGGAATATTGTAACAGATGAAATGGATAAACATACCACAGCAGAAGAAAGGCCATCAGTATATGTAAATAACAGTGCTGTAACAATCCTAAACTTATACAGCAGACTCATTCAATACTTATTCCCTATTTGTAGAAAAACTGAATAAGGACACAAGAGGCCATATGATACATGGCCAAAATAATCCCTAGAACACCTGCAGATAAGAATATTTTGCCTAAAATGGCAAATGAAATAAATAATGCAATTCTCTGAAGTAAAAAACTCATTAAGTTATGATGGAATAACAACAAAATTACTCAGTACATCTTCTTCTTCTATGGCACAACAGCCCTAAGTCAAGCCTTGGCCTCCTCCCATGTAGGTTTCTTTGTCTTTGAAGTGTGCATTTTTTATGAGTAGTGAGTGACAACCCCACTACTCAATACATGCTCAATCTTCATTAGTGTGCCTTTAAGTTAGCTCTGTAATCAATCACTTATCAAAGGAACCTTCCCAGGATAACTTAAATATTCAAAAGCTAAACCTCCGTATAAAAACGTGAAAAATCCTGCTACTACAACAGATGAATTTTGCTACTGACATTTCCCAAAATATTTGAGGTTATGTGTAAATGAGTAATCGGTTTCTGTAACTCCAACAGTATCATCAAAGAGGAACAATCTGAATTTAAAAATATGCCCTTCAAGTGACAATGCCTTGTACAAGTTCTTAGATGAAATACTGAGTGCCCTTAATGATAAAATGCATGTAGGTAAAACATTTTGTGACCTTTCAAGGTACTACTTTACATATTAATATCAAACGTTTTTATGGAATAAAAGGTAAATCTGGACAATGGTTTAAATCATATCCCAAGAGCAGAAAATAAAAAGTTGAAATTAATCTTCTAATTCACATTTTAACTCATTTTCCAACTGGGACAGTGTAAAATATGGAGTTCAGTTCATGATCATGTTTTTTTCCACTTAAATACCAATGATCCAACACATAATAAATTCTCAATCAGTTATTGCTGATGACACTAGTATTATTATTTATCATCTTGATATGAACTACTTTCCATTAATGGTGCCTTTGAGGACCTGAACAACTAGTTCAGAACCAGTGAACTTACCTTAAATTTTGACAAGAGAAACTTCATGGAGTTCACAACAGCAATGAAACATGTATCGATTTTAATATAGGTTATGACAATAAAACAACTGATGAAGTTCACATATATATTTATTATTCAAGTCATATACACAAACTTTTAAATATTGATGTTAAAATTTAATTTAAAATTGATATTCTGCGCCATTCATCGTTATCTCGAGGTTACAATGTTGCGCTTTAATACTTCTATATGTTTCGATGTCATAGCATCATCTTCAGGTTTTTATATTTAAAACTATTCTATATTTATTAATGCAAGCTTTTCGTTGATTGTAGATTGTAGATTACTATTGTGGGTGTTTTCTTTGGTCTTCTTATTATTATATAAAAACTATAAACTGATGAAGTATTGAAACTAAATTCTTTGGTTTACAAAGTGATAACAACAGTACAAAAAGCACATGGTGCATATCCCTAAATAAAGTTCTGCATGCTTTCCATGAAAACAGTCACATAACTGTTGACAGTAGACAATACATTAAAATTAATTTACTTTGCCCATTTCAATTCAATCATGTCATATGTAGTTTTCTTCTGGGGAAATACAACAGGCAGCAAGAGTATTTATCACCCAAAAGAAAATCATTAGAGTAATGACAGGTATTAAAACAAGAGTATACTGCATTAAAGTTTTTAAGAAATTAAATATACTATGCTCTGCAAATGAATTCCTACTTTCATTACTCTACTTCATTGTGTACAACATATAGACGTTCCAAAGACCGACATGATAAATATATGGCACAAACATGATCACCAGCAGCCCAGTGCTAACCTCACTTGTTATCAGGAAGGTGATCACAATACATGAATCAAAATTTTCAGTACTCTTGTAAAAAGCATTACAATTTTAAATTCCAAAGTATTTTAAGCCAGCATTGAAAGATTGTTTTTCTTCTCACTCTAATCTGTAAATTAACTTTAATTGAAAATTATTAAAACTGTATTTAAATAAATAGCTGTGATAAGTAAGCATTTATAATTTTGTTCTGATTCTTAGTGTACAAATAATTCATATTAATTGTCTTGTAGTATGAAGGATCGATCTACGGAGCGTAAATAAATTCTAATTCTAATGACAGAACAACACGGCTCAGCGACTTAATTTGCGCCACAACTGTCCATATCGTTGCATTCAAATATGGTGCCAAGTTTTCAGACCTAGAAATTTTGTGATTCATCTTGAAAAATTACGATTCCAAAGAGTTCTACCAGAATATAATCACAAACTTGCAAATGGACACCACTTTTAGGACTAATGGAGAGGATATGAAGTATTGCTGAAATTAGTATTTTACATTTTGTCCACCAGGGTGTTATGAAAAATATCTGAATCGAACATTGAAGGAGGAATTATATTTGAATGTTTTCAAGTCCTCTTTCGTACCGTGGATTTATTTATGTTGAAAAAATATATACACGTAATATTCCTAACAATATATACAGTAGGATATGTCAGAAAAGCAATGAAATGGAACTAAAGCTCCAATGGTAAATTGCGGAATGGATGCTGTAACTTGCATAGTACATGCAGAACTGTTTCCGGCAGTAGCCTACACCAACATTTCTTTTTATGTACGGGTTAGAGAAATTAAGTTATTTATAAATAGCAAACGGACCTATCTCAGGTATTATTCTAACGCTCTTTATGTAAACTACAATGATACAATTATTGTAGTAGCGTATGAAATGTAATTTAAAGCATAGATATACTAATTAACGGCGCATTCGCGAAATTTGCGGGTGTCTCCATACAGCGGACATGGATTGTTAAATTGGTGTTGCATGAATCGTGTCAAGATGGTTGCATGCGAATGATTTGGCGGAGAGCGTACCTTGAGTGGTGCTTTGTGAGGATTATTATGTAGGTTTTTGTTTTGATTAATTCGTTATCATATTCGTGACATTATCTTACAGTTTTAATTTATATTGTTTATAGTTTGGTCTCTTATAATTACATTCCCGTGAATGTAAGTGCATTCACTGCATTTTGTTAAATACAGTTGTAGGCCACTACATTTCAATCATGGTACATGACACATGGTAGGAGGTGCTTGAGACATGTTCTTACTTTTATTGCAATCGTAAAATATAACAATTCAGAATATGTCACTCATGCATATGGAACAGATAGGAAATTGCATTTCATATGTGGATAAATGCTAAAGGTACTGGTTAATATCTTGTGGTTCAGATTGAAGATGACATTGATTATGTTGATGAAATTAATTGATTATGTCGTACCTGTTTTTCCAACTGATCTTAATATTGGACATGCCTGTCATTGACATTCACAATATGTAGTTGAATTGACAGCCATTTAACTTTTCAGCGAATACATTCCAATCAACATCTGGAATGGATTCACAGCAGCAGTTTTGTCTTAAGTGGAACAGTTTTGGCAGCAATTTGGCGACAGCATTTGGGAATTTATTCAAATCAGAGAGTCTAACAGATGTCACGTTATTTTGTGAAGGTAAATTATTTATGTTAGAATTACATGATTTTGCCATTATTGTTAAGTAGTGCTTGGTTTTTAATGTGGATAATAATTTTTATGGATTGTTCATTGTAGGTGTGACATTTAAGGCCCACAGGCTTATCCTGGCAGCATGTAGCAAACACTTCCAGGATTTATTTGAAACAGCACCTCTCTGCCCAAGTGTGCTGGTCATTTTGGATGGTACATCATCATCTAACATGTCCGCCTTATTAGAATTTATGTACAAAGGAGAAGTTCATGTGTCTCAGGAAAGCCTCTCAAGTTTCCTGAAGGCTGCAGAATGCTTGCAGGTAGGAGCTTAAAACTGTGTAAAACTTTTGTTTATTATGTTAATGGCTTCAATGTGTTAATCATAATCATGAAATTGATGGTTATTGAACATTATAGTGATGATATCATGTTGGAAAAATTTGTATTTGATCTGTTGATTGTCTCAGAGTGCATATGTGCTTACATTTAGCAGATGCTACATGTATGCCAGTTGTTTTCATTGTTGTAAAATAAATGTGTAACAGTGATAATATTTTATTATAGAAGTTGATTTTTTACATTGTTATTCATTCCATTCACTAGGTCAAAGGCTTGTCAGTAGAGCATGAGAAGCTTGCTGTGGTACAGGGGCAGCATACCAGTTTATTGGGCCAGGACAGCCAACTGGACTCGCCTACAGGTCGTAAACAAACCAAGATAAATAGCAACAGTAATAGTGGTACAAAGGAAAACTTGGAAGGAGGCTCAGGTGACCAACTCCGACAGCATCATCCATCTACCTCATCATACTCTGCAGTCGTGTCTCCATACATGCTCCCTTCCCATTACCGTCCAGCGTATGAGCAATGTGTGCCTGCCTCAGCGCCACCCCCGACTCATTATGACGCGTCTCCTCGAAAAAGGCATCACCGCAGTTCTTCCGAAGCTATTCAGGACTCTGCTGTTCGTGCCTCAGTTCTGCGAGACGGCAGCAAGTCCCGTACTGCTACCGAATCTGAAAAACACTCCCCTATATCCTTGGCATACCGTCCTCTACCACAACAACCTCAGGATCCTGACCTGAAGGCTGATGACAAAGGTTACACCCCGAGCTCATCCGCGTCTCAACATCTCTTGAGGTATGAAGGGGGACCTGATGTCAGAGATAATGCTGCTGCTAATGCCCCTGCCAATGCTGCCACTACTGTGACTTATGACAGAGCTGTTGCTGTGGAAGTTGATGGCAACAGCAAGGCTGCGCCAGAAAGTCGGCGATCATCGGTGGACCCTGGAAGTAGCTGTCCAGAAGGTAAGAAGTTTGGCATTATCAGTATTTTACAAGTTTCAGTCTTTGACTATCGATTTCTTTGTTTTTCCATGCCATGTATCAAAGTTAATATTAGGAATTGTATGTATAATTTTGTTGTTTTCTTAATTCTGTAATCAAGAACATACATCACAGTGGTTACCGTTATAACAAGTTTACAGACACTTCGGAGGTCCTTGCTACCTCCATCATCAGGGTGATTAGTTACTCATTGCCCTGATGATGGAGGCAGCAACAAACTCCGAAACGTTGGTAAACATCTACCAGACTACATGGTGCAACAACCCAGAATAAAGCCATCTTAAAACTCACTGCCGTGGAAACCTCTTTTGTGTTCCCGTGTTGAGGTAGTCTCAGACCTTGACGCTGAATAAAGACGAAGGAAATAAACACAGAAACCTTTAAATTAACTGCTGCGTTTGCTTATCCATATGGTTGGTTCAGTAGCATTTGTATTAGTAACGTGAAGTAAGTGCAGTCCCAGGCTGCCTATCTTCCACTGTACAGCAGAATATTCCGCACAAGTCAGTTTTATCTCAAAGTACATTTTATGCTGTACAGTAAATGGTTTATTGTAATTCTGGTTTATGACAGTGTCACTTTACAGGATAATTAATGAATGAAGAAATTTGAAGTAATGTGTATAGTAAGCTTACTTGCTGAAATACAGCTCATCTCCGAGTGCTACAGGCTGCTTATGTGCTGTGACATACTTGAATTGTAACCAGTTTTTTCCAGGGATCTCTAATGACTGAAAATTTTCGTTCACACCATTTTGATTATAACTGAAACATAATTGCAGATATTTTCTAAAGATGCTGGCTTTAAACAGCCGCTTCCTTTATGTGCAATCCATAAACTTGCAATTGGCTCCTATGCCTGTTTTTTATTACCTAACGTCCATAAATCAATACTGTATTACATTCAAAGTAATACCACTCAAGTGATTTCCTTCCATATTTGAATTAGTGTGATATTTTCAACTGACTTCAGAATAAACAGTCTGAACACAGGGCTCATCTTGAATTTAAGGAAAAGCATATCTTGTTGAGCCTGGAGTGAGGTGAGAAACATTCTGAATGACATACTTGTCTGTTACTACCATTTTCTTTAATTTAAACAATATTCGCCTTCTATTCAGAAAGGCCGGCTGTGTCTCAAATAACAAGGAATAATTTCCATCAGTCTTCATTTTGCACAACCTCGTTTTTATCAGAAACATTCAGTGGAAGTTCTATTTGATTTCCTGGTAAATCTGCTATCATCATTAAGTAACAGCCAGAAAGTGCAGCAAGTATTAAACTGAACGGGATATACGTTCAGAACAACACAGAGCAATAACTGTATGTCAGAAGTAGTGTCTAAACTGAAGCGAACATCTAAATATATGACACGACTTTGCATGTTATCTCCTCACCAATAGTAAGTGTCTCAGGTTTCAGAGGAAATGATGGTAGATATGTTAATTTAGAAGGGTTTCAGATGCTGGTATGCACTGTTCACACCATGTGATGTGGTTCTTTTCAGGGTTTAAATAGTTTGAATCATTTACTGCATCATAACTAACTGGAAGAGAAATAAATATGTGTTGTCAAATTATGATAAAATGACGTTATGGAGTCAGGAGTGTGTTCTGAATATATTTTAAAAATTGCAGCTTAAAAACTAATTTGAGGCAAAAGACAGTTCAGAAGGGTTGACCACATTTTCATATACCACCATATGAAAAAGGTGTCATTTGTGTTTTTCCCCTTTTAAAATGTGAATGTTGTTTGACATTGCTGTTTAGAAAGAAATGTTCTTTGATTAAAATGGTGTGGTAATTTTAAAACAGGCTGTTAATGCCACAAAGTATTCTTGAAACTTATTGTTCTGGACTTTTTGATAGATGTTATTTACCTGGCCACACCTCCCCCATCACTCCCACCTTCACTGATGCCAATGTGCTGTGTGCAATGCCTCTGGAAATCTCTGGCTATGCTGCAAACTGCATGATCTATCAATGTCATTCTAGAAACATCTTGATTAGCATAGCTTATTCTGAAAATGATTGGTAAGTCCAGTTACCATCTGTGGCATATATAAACTGCAAAAGAGTGGGGTGCAAGACAGTCTTGAACTGATTGTCCAGTAAAAGATATACAGTAAAACCTCTCTAAGTTGGACACCTGCTGTTCCACAAAGATGTGTCCAACTTTCAGAGGTGTCCAAGAAAGAGGGAAAGGGAAAAATCATCCTTTCAGATTGTGGTGTAATGACAATGTAATCTATTTACTTACGTAAACTAACCACTGTAGGCTTACTTGAATTAAGAATTAACTGCCACGGTGGTCTAGCGGTTAGATGCTAGGCTTGTAATACTGGGGTCCCAGGTTCGATTCCCGGCGGTGCTCAGATTTACAACTTGTGTTGGGCAAAGCCGTGGTCCAGGCATCACAGAGGTTTCCCCGGTTTCTCCGTGGCATCCCAACAATTACTCCACTTTCATCATCATTTCGCAATAAGGGGGGTCCCAGCAAGAGCGTTAAATGTCGCTGTCCTGATCGAACCCATGTACTGATGGGTCATGAATCCTGATAACCACCAATGCAAACCATTAATTCTGTAAATTGTGTGAATTCTGTAATTATTAATCTGTACTTGGCCACAGTGTTATTTTTCTTGCCAGAAGTTTTACACTGAGTAGTAAGTCCAGATGTTTTCTTCTTCTTTTAAATGCAAGGAATTAGGAGTAAAAGAAAAAGTAAAAATACATAGTTATAAGTGACTTCTATTTTAACACCTTGTTTATAGGGAAAAGAATAAAATGAATATTTGAGTCTTGTCTAAAGGCTGAAGAGTTTTAGATGTATTTGCTATAAAATGTGGAGAGTTAATTTTTTGCAGTATAAATAAAGTAGGTAAACAGAATATAAATACAATTACATAAATTTATCTCAAGCTTTCAACTGTCCATGTACTTGGATAGAGTAGGATGTTTTATATTTACCACTGAAAACATAAAGGATTTGCTTTTTGTGTGCTGCAGCCCTCATCACATTCTTTTCCTTTGTGATTAGTAATGGCTCTTATTACTGAATTTGTAATCATTTGTATTTTGTAAGTACTTGTATGTGGCTACTTCATATTTGAGTAAATTTATGTCTTATATTTTTTTCTGAACAAGTTTAACCTCTTTTTGTGCAGATTTGCGGGTGAAACTCGAGCTCTCCGGCCGCCCAGAAGACCATCACGTGGCAAATGCTGCACCATATAAAGAGATGAGCGCTGACAAAGTACCCGAGATAATTCCATCCAATCCCTGGAACTCGAGTGCAAGTACAAAACTGGCTGTCCATAAAGGGGGCAGTATTACTACAGCTGACGGTAAAGTAGTTGAGTTCTCCTGTTGTGTTGGTATGGGATTGAGCAGTGTAGCATGCAAGCAAGTGGCAGATTTAATTTGAAATTTTCTAATTTTGTATAAACTGTATGAAGTTGTTTTGCAGTGTGCAGAGACTTACGTGTGGTATTTTCTCTGCTAGACAGCTGTCTTGACTGAGATTTTACTACTTTCACTTCGCTTTTCTTACATGACTGACATGTAACTTAAAGTTACGTTTTTGGAGATTTTTATTGGCAATTTACATTTGCTATACCGAGTTCCTACGTTGTTATTGGGAATAGCATTGTAGTCTTTTTAACTAGATTGAAGTTGTGCTTTGCAACAGTATTGATATAAATCAGTCGACCTGATTTGAAATAGTGGAATTTAATAACGGCTGCAATGCACTTCTCTGTTGTGGAACTTTATATGTAGTTTCTACATACTATATGTAGTTTGCCTGGTTTTTGCATTCTTCACATTTGAAATGTTTTATAATAGTTGTGTTCTGTTTAGAGTAGGGAACAGACTTCTGATCTTTGTCTAGTTCCTGGTGTGCTTTTGGTTTATTGCACTATATACTTAAAATTCATATCTGATGGCTTAGCGTTAGAAATTGAATGTAAAGTGGGCAATTTGGTATATGCAGCACAAGTTAAGTTGTGGGAATTTGTGATGGTGTATAACCCAAGTCCACAGCTCGGAGTCTGATAGTCTCCCATTGTGCAAAAAATTTCCCTGCCTTTGTGGAACTTGCAGATACATTACCATGTGCGCAAAAGCCCACCACTGAACCCTGTGCAGAACCCTTGAATCCAGTAGATAACCTCATGCCATATTTCTTTCAGATCTGTTCTTCTGAAGGTAGGTTTATAAGAAATTCATCGAGTTCTGTTACAAAAATTTGAGGGCACGTGTAGTATGTTGGGCTAAACCACAGAACACAAAATGTAGGCGGTGGCAGTGTGGGTTTTTAAGAAGAGAAATTCATCGGGCATCCACTACACAAAACATGAAAACACAAGTAATTACAGTGTCCACTTCTGTATTACAATTAAAAAGAAAGGTGAAGTTGAGCTGATTAAAGCCGTTTGAATGTAGAAACTACGTCAGTGTATTGACTTGTCAAGTCAGTGGTTAAGCAACCGTACATAAATTGCATATAAAAATGTATGAGAATTTGTATGGAATGATGTCTCACATTTTATTAATAGACAAGTATGTCATACAATTTCTGATTTGTGCTTCATGTATCCAGATGTAAATCTACCTGAATGTACTCTGGTAGAAGTCCACCAACGTTTCAGAGGTCACTGTTAACTCCATGATCAGGGCAATGGTGCAGGTCGAGTGTGATTGATGGTTGGAAAATTGTGTGGTTTTACTGCACAATTGGAAGATATTGCACCAAAAAGCACAAGTAGCCACTGTGTGACTCTTTGCCATGCTCTTGCTGTGAGGAAGATTCCAAATACAAAGAATGGTGTTAGGTTAGGTTGTGAATTTGATAAAATTAAAGAATATTTTCATTGGTTGTCTTCACGCAACAAATCAGTATTACAGGATATAGCATTCAATTACATGTCAAGGTATTTTTATTTTAATGTCGTGTTTCAGACACATGGTCCATCATCAAGTAACTGCCTACACAAATATGTCATGCTTTAATATTGATATACAAGCTTGAATAATGTGTCTAAAACCATGTAAAAAAAATACTCTTTACCTTTGTCACACGGTATCACACTTAAGTCATGTTCATTTGATCGGTTAAATCAAGAAGTAAAGCTGTCTTGCTGTGTGCCATGTAGGTGCTTAGAGGGGGAGGAGGTATAACTCCTCATTCTTGACCTCTGCGCTAGATAGGGGCAAGTCATCAGCGTCACGCCCTGGTTATGCTTTACCTCCAGCAAAGGACCCTGTTGTCCAATGGACAAGAGGCTGGATAAGGCCAGAGCTGGTCTGGATACAGAGGCTGGAGGAAAGATCCTGCATCCCTGTCGGGGATTGAATCCCGATCATCCCGTCTGTTGTCGGTCACTATAGTGACTGAGCTATGGTTAAATTGAACTCTAATTGTTGAATTAGAGTTAAATTAAAATTAAGATTAAATGTTATGTGTAACATAACATATTTTAAAATAAGTTAATATAGTTAAAACTCAATCACTCCATTAATCTGTTGTATTAAAATTGTGATGATGTGCCTGTTGAGTTCAAAGTTTTTTGTGATGTGTGGTATTGTGTTACATTACAATGCACTGAAGTCCAAATTCGTAGTTTGGAAAGATGAGTTCTTGATTTTGTTTGTATGATGTTATACTTTGTTGTAGTGCCTTGGGCTTGGCCTGAAGTTCTTTGTACTCATTCTGTTGCAGCGCATATAGAAGGGTATGGCTGTGTCTTTGTTTAGTGAAGACTGCTGCACAAGCACCATTCTTATTGTCACAGACTGAATCTGTAATGGATTGAGTGTAATTAATTCCATGTATTTAACATACAAATGCCTATCCATTTAATGTGTGCTAGAGCTTGTAATATTTATCACTGCATTACAGTCCATTGTAATCTTTTGATAAAATCAGAGCCATTGAATTCAAGAATTTGTGTGCATTATGATGAAATGGGTAGCAATTGCACAATTCTACTGTTGCACATGAATTTAGGTTTGTTTGTTCATAAATTGCACTTGTAAAACTGAGCCCTTCTTTTGCAATATAGTTTTGGGGATATGGACAGAAAGACTTGTCATGCTTGAGAACTGTATTACTGATGATCTTTCAGACATGATGAAGCATTTGCAAGGCCTACAGGTTACAATGAAAGAGTATTTTCTGCCTGTGGTAGAACATTTCTGTTGGTTATAAAACCTGTTTATGTTCCATCTCACAGAAAAAGGATTAGAAACAAAACTATATGACAAATTAATTGACATTTAAATGGATATGGGTTTGAAAGATATGCTCACGAACATCCATCTAATTAATTTCTGTGCTGGTCCAAGGGAGTGGTGTACACATATTTCACATGTGGCCGTAGAGAAGCTATTTCTGTTTTAATCTACGTATAAAGCAGCGTTCTCAAGATGTACATCAATAGAAATGCAATTTGAAATAGGCTTAGTGCAGAAATTTACATGAGGATATAGCTTTCCAAAATTGTACCTGATTTTTAACTCTCTTGTTACCACTAAGTAAATGCACCTGTCACATTTCGTAAGGACAGTATAAAGTGTTTCCTTAAATATGGAGTGTATGTAATTAGGTTAAAATTTGTGTACATAAGTTTGTTTTAAAAGTTCCACAAAAATATTATATTACCAAATTTATTCTGAAGGGGTAAACAGTTTGTTAGCCACTTTTATGCTGTAATGCCTACTGTTCATGAAACTTTTATCAAGCATCCAATCAGATATCTCAGAATAGCTTTAAAATATTTTTGCATAACTTAATTCTCTTTGCAGTGTTGTATATATTGTTCATTAGCAGAATCAGCAGTAAATGGATGCCATGCTCTGGCAATTGCTCCAATCTGTCTAGGAGTTCACTGCCAGGCCACTAAAACTGGAGGAGTTTAAAAGAAATGTTTCACTATGTATAAGCAGTGGCGTATAATCATCTTACCATGGGTCTTGTCTTTTCTTTTCCTGGTACTTCTCTTGAACCAGTGGTGAACCTCAACACTCGGGCTTTGAGTTACTTTTCTTATTATGTGCAATATTTGTAGTACGTCTTTTGGGGGGGGGGGGGGTCCTGTTGCGTTTTTTAATTTTTTTTATATAGCCGCAATTCCCATGACCCTGATGATTACTCATAGGATAAAGCATTCCACATTCACTGAATTTCTATACTTTGAGTTTTTATTTTAATTTTTTTTTTGGTACTTCTTCTGTATTACATTGCTATCCAGTGGCATGGCTACTTCTATCAGTAAGCGTATTTTATCTTTGTTGTTATTACTAAAATACCTTAACATTGTGGTGCTATTTGTAGGATGATTTCATAATATTGCATTTCTGCACAAAATGAGTTACAGAAGAGGATTCATTGCTGATGTCAGGACCAGCATATTTAGAAAGACCTCTCCATTCTTGCATGTCAAATTGATCCTTTATATTTTGTTTTTAAACTTATTTTCCATTTAGACTGGACCAGAGTTTCATTCAGATAGCCATGGTGGTGCCTGTTAATATGTGACTGTCCATTAATCCACAGGTAAGAAACTCAAATGTCCGTTCTGCGAGCGACTTTACGGGTATGAAACCAACTTGCGTGCTCACATTCGCCAGCGCCATCAAGGGATACGTGTGCCGTGCCCCTTTTGTAGCCGTACCTTCACACGCAACAACACTGTGCGGCGGCATATTGCTCGTGAGCACAAGACGGAGTACAGCCTCAAGGCATTTCAACCACAAGCTCAGGTTCACAACCACAACAACCAGTAAGCAAAATGAAGCCAAGCCTCACAAAGAAGTTCTTCACAGAGAAACAAAATCAATCAGGATAGTAACAGAAATACCTCAAAGGATCTTATATATAAATACATAATTATTACTTGATATATATAGAAATATTATATATATAAAATATATATATATATATGACATTGTTAAAGGACAAGCAAGAACGATGTCCTGTTAACAAGTTATTGTGTGTCTTATTTTTCTTTATTATGATTTTTGTTTTTGTTTTTGTTCTTTCTTAAAGCACTTTTTTTCTGGATGTCTGTGTAAGAACAAACACTTGTAGCTCTCTTATCTCTGAGGTTTAGGCAAGATTTTATGTGGGATATAGGTTGTACATAATGAATATGAAGACCTCCAACTTGTACAGTCAAGACAAGGGCTCTATGTACTTCACTCTTTTATCCACGTCTTCTCGTCATGCCCAGAGGGCAGTATTTTATCTTAAGATGGTGCCTCACTGAAAAGCTACAAAACACAAATTGTTTGAATACAGCTGGTGCTCAGACCATCTCTCAAATGAAAGGCTTTAGATTTTGGTAATTGGCGGTGAAATTTTGTGGTTGTTTTCTGGAGTAATAATGTGTTTGGCAACACAGTTTCTGGCAAGCAATTTGATATATTTCGAGGTTTAAGAAATTCTTGAAATTATGCTGTTGAATCTGTGAGTTGGTTTTCACCAGTTGTACTATTGTGTGTTTAGCAAAAAAAAAAGTTATTGATTCATACTCTAAATGTCCCAGTCTTGGTGTTTTCTTTTTGGCCAGGTATAAAAGTGGTAATGTGTGTAAGTTGCCTGTGGTGAAAGTAAATACTGAAGTGTCACCCAGTTTGAGGCATTTACAGTATGCTGAATAACTCAACGAAAAAGCTGTACACACTATTTTATTATATATGTTTTTATTTGACGTGAATATTATCAGCATCAAAACCGTTACTCTCCTGTTAGAAAACTAGTCATTGAAAGTGCAACAGATTACATCTTTTTACATCTCAGGAATCAGTAGCAGATGACCATATTTTGTTTATCTCACCCCATATGGAACAGGGGAAATCAGGGACAATTGTTCAAAACATCCTAGTGCCAAATCACAGCTATACACAGCCTGTAAAGTATTTTATTTTGTAAAGAAATTTTTAAAGTTTAATATGTGAGCTGATCGTTTGAGGACAACTTACAGCCGGTGTCATACAGTTGGCACGACAGAAGCTACTGTTAGATTACCTCCAAACTGCTGTTCCTGCTGCGTTATCATCCTTGGTTTCTCTTTCTTCCTCCCTTCATATTCTGTTGTGCTGTAGTAGTTTTCTACATACGTAAGGAAATATTTATATTCATAATGCTATCTGCTCCTAGTCAATGTATTTCCCTTAGTATATAGATATTTGTCAGTAAATACAGTTGTAGTTGCATTCATTATTTGTACACATTTTAGATTCCAGTATTTGTCGGTCATTGTCTTCAACTGGGCAGTGTTGATTCAGATCTGAGGCGATACATTACATGACATGTTTGTAACTAAACTCAGGACCCAGCATCACGAGCGTGCTAAACTCTTGTTTTATACAGCCATTTTGAAATACTGCATTTTCTAGGAGATACTTTTTACCGATACTTTTCCTCACGGAGGAAAAAGCCATTGCTTATTTCACAGTCACGTTCGCATCATTTATGATAGGTTTCCCCTATGCAATCTCAGGTAGTCGGACGGTGTACGATGTCATGGAATTTAGGGTCATAGCAACTTTTTTATTGTTTGAGTAAGTGTATTGAAGTTGGATTGACTTCTTAAAATTTTAATATTGTTTTATTTCCAATTGAGTTTTGTTGCTTGCTGTAAAGTTTTGTTATTGTTGTTAAAATATTGTAAGATGCAAAGTATGTGATGGAGTTGCTTCCGGAGTGAAGGCCGTGCACATTTGGCAGTGTGCACAAAGGATAGGCGTTATTTATAGACACTTGGTTATGATACTGTGTGTTTAATTGGGTTGGCATTGTGTTATGCACCATTGCAATTATACTTGATATGTTTGAGTGGAAGAGTGCTATGTGATGAGTGTTCAGTGTGGGTTTTTTTTTTTTATGTTCTTGTATGTAAAGAATTCTTATGTGAAGACCTTTGATGATAAATTGACAGTACAAGAAGGCCACCACCAAGTGGCTTCTCTCACTCAAGTGTCTTTGGCACACACCATGCCAACTTTAGTGCAGAGATCTTGTTATCGTTTGAGTATGACTTACATTGCGTTGCAGCCTCTGTTGATTGGAATCAACCTGATGTGGCATTGCAAGGCATTTGATGTATTGTTTTAATGCATGTGGGGGATGGAAATTGGTGTATGGGTACTTTTGCACTTGTTTAGTATTTTTTACTATATTCTTTGTTTGAAATATTTGAGAGAATCTTTAGAGGTTATGTTGGTTTATCTGGTGCTTCTTTATTTTTTGGGCAATTGGTTATTAGTTTAAATAACAAAAGTAGCTCTTAAGGTCGTGGTTATATTAAGCACTTCGTGATCAGGTCATTTATTTACTAATGATTTTACCCATCAAATTATCTTTACTGCCTCTTTGTTGTAATTAGAATGTTACGTGTATTTCATAATTAGACGCACTTTGCGCTTGACTACTAAACGGGTAAAACATGGTTTACGAGATTTGTCAAGTCATTTTTGCATAAAGAACTAGAGTAACTCCAACATTTTTGCTATACTTTAAATCTCTAGAGAATACGCAGTGTGCAATGCTTGGAGACTTATAGTTATGGCAAGGGCAAGGAGTTTGTCAATTGGGCTGTTGCATTGACTATCCCCGTTATAATGGGAAGCAGAACTGAAGCGAGATGAATTAATTGTAACAGCAGTGCCATTTGCTGCTGCTTAGACTGGCGTCGTAGGATGTTCAGTTGTTATTCTTACAGTAGTCTCTGTCTCAACAACAGTATTTGTCGTGTTGTTATTGTTTGATTTTGGAAGGTGTGGAAAGCGTTTAAACAACTCAAGATTCTGCTGTAATTCAGGTGGTTGGATCAGGAAGCCTTCATATTTTTTTGTGTGCTGCTATGGAGGGGGTGTCCAAGCTGTTTTATTTGTGTGTGTATATATATATTTGTTTTACGGTAGGGCCCATCATATAGTTACTGTTTGTAGTGAGCAGCTGTTGAAAGAATAAACCTCATAGTAGTTGAAACAAAAATAAGGCTTCGTACCACATGGTTCAGAATTGGGGTTATTGGTTTCCACACGCTTGTTTAAACTTGCTTCAATTTGATGTTCTGATGCATGTTATTAGTTGTATTATCTTTGCATCATTTGACAGAACAATCTCAGGAATTTATTTCAGGGACTAAACCATTTTTTGCACTATTCAGTATGTAGTATGTTCAGTAGTGACTTTAGATCATACATTTGCAATTCACGTTTGCAAAAAGGAAAAGAAGAATAAGTGCATGAGACTTTTCCTCAGAGTACAAAATTGGGAATTAAAGTTTACCTAAGTCCCGTCGAATTGTGAATGTTGTAGAAAATTTTGGTTGGTTTTTAACTTGTGTTATAACATAGTATAAGAGAAGCCAAGGCTACCCTGAAAGGGCCGTAGTGCTAAAGAAGAAGAAGAAGATAAAATAGTATTACAATGGTATTATTGGAAAAGGTGGAATTTGGTGATTAACTTGGAAATGTGAAATTATTAGAACTTTGTTTTTAGTACATCTCATAACAATTCAGGTTCACTGTAGTTAACATTGGCCAGTTTTTTCCACATTGTATTTTAATGAAATAATTCTGCAAACACTTGCTCCATGTTTTTTTACCTCGTTTGCTTTCTGTCTCAGGGCTCAGTGAAGCCAGATGCAATAGTGCAAGGCTACCTTCTACCTCATATTGCACACAGTTGAACTATTGTGTCTGTGCTTTATGCTGAGTTTCAACATACGGGTTCTGAAGCAGAACCCATATGTATTTTAACTACAGCCCATACCATAGTATATTAAGCAAATACCATTAAGTTATAGGCATTTGTGCCATTGACAGATGTTTCCTAGGCTGGTATGAACACAGTGTCGCTTTGCTGAAGAATAAATTATCTGTTGTACAGCCTTGTCGTGAATTTTGAAGCCTCCACAGATAAATATTTTTAATCTTAAAATCCCACAACATATTTATCCTATCATGTAACTGTAATTTACTCAGGAAGTTCCAGAATTCGTTTATATATACATATGTATATAATACAAGCAGTAGTAATAAGTTGCATAAATACCGTGCTACCTCAGAACAGGATTAATGTAGTATTACATTTAATTACCTCATGCGTACTGTGTCACTAGGTAATCTCTTTGAGGGATTTATTTAATGAGAATGCACTATTCAGTGTGTGTGCATTGCCGTTCACTTTAGGGCAATATTGATGTCCACATTAATGCAACCGGGTCCAAGTGTTAGTGCGAGTGTTTGTGGATTCATTTTCATTAAGTGCTCTAAATCTGTGTGTTGTTTTCCTTGTATTGGGGCATTGATAAGCACTGCTGTAGGTAAATTTAAAACATGTTTGATTACATAAGAACTAGGTAGGTGATGAAAGTACAAATTTGATTCAAAATATCAATTATAAGCTTATGCTTGTGTACCTGCGGCTGTCTTTCAGTTTGAAAGTAACAGTGTTTCCTTGCCACAATTGAACAAGCTCTCTTGTTGGCACTGCCAGATATTTTAAGTCCAAGTGTTGTGCATCTGAAGCACTCAGGTTTCAGTAACTCTCAGCATGTCCGTGTGTTGCTTCCCATTTTACCCCCATTGTCTATAGCAGTGTGAAGGAAAGTTGTCAGTAAATAAGTAAAGAAGAAAACCTCACTAAAATAAATACAGATATCCAGATATATCTGTGAACAAGTACAAGATATTGCTGTACAAATTAAGCAAAATAGTAGTTATAAAATGTGTGTATGCATGTGTGAGTGTGTATGTTTAGTTTGCTGATCGCCTGCAAAACTCCAGGTTTCTTTGTAGTCGGACTTTCGTGCTGTAGAGTGTGCAATCTTACGTTGTTTTTCACTGATAACAGAGACTGTCACTGTTATCGACATGCAGCTGTGGTAAGAGTGTGCTCATTCAAAATCTTAGTACCTGTGAGTTCAAAATGCATAAGACAAACCGATGACCTTTTTGAAACAAAATTAAGGGCCTTTAATATTATTACATTCAGTATGTGTGGTGCACATTTGCTGCAGTATATGTGTTGAAAATTGAAATGTGTGTTATGATGCATAATCTAATCTTTTTCGCAGAGTCCGACATTACAAAGTAACAGTGTAGTTTGCACCTGTAACTCAGTCCTCATGTTCTGATACCCAGTGTTCAGCTGTGGCGAGCCACTAGGAGGTTAGCTAGGGTATTCACACTACAGATATTATTATGGGCGACCGCCACTGCCTGGTGGGTCGCATGTACAGTATGCTCGATATACGAGCATTTAGCCGTGTACATACATTTTTCTCTTCCCCAAGGGAGATTTTTAAGTCGCTCAAACTTGTTCAAAAGGTGTTGCACCTCGATTCGTGGCGTGACACTTGAAATTGTGTCGGTCCTGTGATTGTGGGGGACTTGCATGCCCGTCCCATCCACCAATGTTGTATGCTGTCACGATAATTAACGTTATTATGGATGTGTGTGTGGGTGTATGTGTGTACATGAGTGTGTGTTCCTTTTCCCCCCAAATTTAATCACTTTTACAATCAAGCTACTGTTCTTTTTAAGAAATTTTAAGATCGTAATACATGTTCCCACAGGGAGTGAACCCAGTCATAATTGTCTATGTATCTGAAGTGATTTTTATACCGGTATATTTAGTTTCAGATGTAATATATGTACTTGTTTTTTTATTTGAATTATATGTTTATGGGTAATATTGTGTTGTATAATCATAATTATTGATGCTCTGCATAACTGTAGAAAATAACAAAAAAGTCCATGTATATTTACACAAATTTAATTGTTATAGCGATAATGGAGTGTGAATTACATAAACTGAAGATGGGGTCTAATTTTATCCAAGTCAACAAGTAGACCATCTGAAACATTGGTTGAGTGGATGAAATTCCTCTCACGTCTTGATGGTAAAATTTTATGTATAAAATTGAGTATAATGTCTCAAAACATTTAATATCTCAGTGTGTGTGATGTGTATCATGTTCAGAATCATTTCACTGGAGCAGATCTTCAGCTGTGATGCACAGTCCATTAGAACAGTGTTTGGAGTTCCCAAACACTCGTACTTAGATCTGGCGTGTGTTCAGAGACCGCAACATTATAATTGCAACGCCATGTACTCATTGGTAAAATGAAATTGGCATTTCTGTGGAAAAATATTTCAGGACATGTGAGACATGAAGCAAAGCTATTGTTATTGAATGACTTTTTGTGAATTTCTAATTGGGTTGTTCTTGGGTGTTTTGGATCTGTGAATTTGCTGGCCACAATACATGTTATCATTGTTTGGCAGTCACTTGTTGCAATGTTCTATGCTCACCGTAACCAAATGTTGGTTAATGAAATATTGTGACTTTACTACAGCATTGTATTGTGGGAGATATTTTGACCATACATGGGAAATGTATAAACTTATCATCTTGTACAATTTTTGTCTGCATTTTTATGTAGTACAGAATTGAAACATTAGAAACTTTTTTGTATGGTTCCTTGTAAAGCAACGTGATTGTAGTCATATTACACAAGGCACAGTTTGTAAAATTTCTCTCCCACAGTCATTGTAAACTTTTAAATTACCAACTAATATTTGGAAGTGGGCATGTGGAAGGTCCTAGTGTTTTATGTTGTGATGTTATGGAAATATCTGTTAAAGTATCACAGACCATGTGTTCATGCAAGATTATATGAGACCACAGTATGTTTGTGCTCCTTTGTTAAACATGGCTCCCAGAAACATGAGAGCGATGTTTCTCGTTGTGCTGCTACCATACCATAAGAAATGAACACCACAGGTCCAAGTATTTTATGACTTATAGTTGACAATCTTCAAAATAAAAGTTGTATGTCACTGTCATCCATGTATGTACAACTTTCTTTTCAGGGCCATATCTGTTAAATATTCCTTCATTGACATGCTGACAAACCCAATGACGGGATCTTGGAAGATTATAGTACACATAAAAGGTTTTTAATTAATTTTCATGTGATTTTTTGTTTTGTCCCCCAACATCCGAGTGAAACAACTCGGTACTTGTGAGAGAAGTAAAATTGTTATATTAATCTGTTTTGAACAAGTTCTTATAAATTTACAGCTCTTGGCTTAAGATTCTCACTGATAGGAAAAGATTCCAAAATACCTAAGGAATTGTTCCCATGGTAATTATTTGGGTTGTTTGGTCTCTTATTGTGAGGTGTAAACCAGTTAAATACATCCAGTGAGAAATATAATTTTTAAAAACACTCAAACACAAAGTTTAACATTTTCTTGAAATGAATTGATATCCAGTTTCTCTGCATTGTAGTTTGGGTACCTGACTGTAATTTTTGGTATCAGTGCTAACACTGATATTTATAGGCCACCAGTGGTATAAATGACATGTATCATTAGGTGATGTCACATTGCATAGTACAGCTTCTAAAAAATATTGTTTTCTCAGGAAATTCAAAACGTGTGTTTCTGGTGATGTTGGTGCATCCTACGCTGCCAGCAGCATACATTTTTAATCATTAATTCTTCTGCTACAGATTGAATAGTTAACATTCAAGAAAGGGAAATCTATTCTTAATATTTCAAGAAAATTGTGTAAAGCTGTCTTCTGAATAACTGATGAATATTTACGTATATAACAAGAAAGTGATACTTTTCTGCTCATTAGTATTGAAAGGCATTGATTTGGGTGTTATTAAATATTTGTCTTCATTTTGTAAGGCAGAATTGCTAATTACCTTTCCTCATAGTACATTTGAATAAAAGATAAGATGAGGGCAGGATTTTCATAAAGGTCTGCTTAAAATGCTCTGAAGAACATAGAGAATATAAAGATTGCTGATTGTGGTCTTAAATGTGTCAGTGATTTACATGTAACTACTTGTTTCTTAGGGATGGTGTTCTATGTTTGATTTGTGCTAATTTCAAGAACCCTAAATAAAATCTGCTTTATTTGGTATTTTGCCAAAGCAGTACAGACTTGTGTGTGGTAAGGGTGCAGTAATTAGATGAAGGATGCGCTTTGGTGCTGTGGAATGTATAAACTTGCATCATATGTTATAGTACCATATTTTAATTGTTTTGTTATTTTTAGTGTATATCTTGCAGAGTGTTACATATGAATTTTATGATATCAAAATTTCATGTATGTGGACTTTGTCGTTTGCTATTGGTTACAAATTAATGTTTTTAATATTTCAGATAGTGGCATAAAGGTTGTTCGTACATTTTGTGAAGTATTTGATCTTGCTGTCTAAATTTTATCAATGTTTGCACTGATTGAAAATGGAATACATTGGAAATGCATATTCAATTAAGACAGTTGGGTACAGTACCTAGGTCTTGTCGCATTAAGCTTTTTGTTTGCAGGAAGTGGTGGGTTACCTTAGAATAGTGTGGGATTTCATAAAATGCTGTGTTCATCTAGCATACTATGATAACTGTTTCAGTAAATGGCATATATTTCCAGGTGTAAACTTGGGGGGGAATTGCCTGTGTAATTTAGAGTGACATCTGTTTTACAAGTACGAAGGTTATAAAAACTGTTAATATCTCAAGACACTTCCAAATGAAGCATTGGATTAATAACTTCACGTAATTAGCTTTCAAAAGTTTGACGTGGCCAGTTGCACTGCTATTTACATCTTTTATCTTTTAAGGTGTTAATGAAAAGATAATTGGTGCATTTGGTAGCATTTTAATGTTTATAGTATAGCACAACTTTCATTAATATTTCTTGGAGTTTTAGTTTAGCATTCACTTACAGTATTATGAGAAAAACATTCTATTAATTTTCACATCTTTTGGAAAATGGTGATTTTAGAGGCCTTATGATTGAGATTGCAGTAGGCCATTTTATCTCGATTTTTTTTATAAATGTTATAAATTATGTGTGTTTACAGATATTATGAGGACCAACTACAGTGATTCATTATTTGCTTGCTTTTATTTACATCACCAAATGGCTGCTGTAGGGCCATTATCAGTGCTTTGGTGTTTACATATGTATTTGTTTAAAAAATACATAATAAATTTACTGTGACCATAGAGTCAAAATAAACATCAACTGAGTCAGTTGTATAAAACATTAAAATTACATTTAAATATGTTGAGGTAGTACTGCACATTATATGATATACAGTACTGGCTTAACACATGCACATTACACCAAATTTATGTATTCCACAACGTTGTCCAGTCCCCACCTTAATGTTAATATTACTATGCCAGTATGTCTTCATACAACTTTTATCTCTTCCACATGTTTGATGCACTGTTTCACTTCCTCTTGTTGTAAATTATCATTAATCTCACAACCCCCTTAGTTATTGCAGTTGGTTCGTTTGTTTTCCTTGTTGTCCGTTGTATATGTGATGTGCATCCTTGATTTGGCTTCATTGGTGACTTGTTTGCCAATGCAGCTACATCACCACTGCACACCACTTGTACAAAGACCAACAATTCACGAGTAAAAGTAGTTGGTTCTTGTAATATTTGTGTACATTACTGCGTGAAGGGTTTTAAGGCTGATGTGTGTTTGTTTTTGCACATCATGTTTCTCTACTTCATTACCAAATTAAGTTTTAGAAGGTGGTAATTTCCAGAAATGACCCATCTTCTTTCCTTTAAAAGACAGTTCTGCCTGGAACAAAATAATCATAGAGCATGTTGCCACAGCTCTTGGCTTAGCCATCAGTAGCGACATTGTTCGAGACGAGTTTTCTTATCGGTAAATTCAGATAACGTTGGCAATATGGCGAACGTACTATTTTCTTGGTATTCTGTGTACCAGGTGTGTTACAGTCCTTTTGAATGTGCAACAGCAGCTGGTCATTGTCTTAAGTTTGATTTGCTTCAAGAAGTTTTCCACTAGGCACTTCCAGTCATGGAATTTCACCTGGCACTGTCTGTTGGGCAACATCACTTTTAGGGATGCTTGTGCTGTTTGTATGTGTCTGTCTTGGTGCCTAACTTTGCAGGAAAATGTTAAAAATAAATTCACGCTCTTTTCAGTTAATTTAAACCTAAACTTGACGTGTTGATCATCCTGTCTTCAGGAGCTAATTAATTGTTTTAAGGTTGGACAGTTGTGGTGGTTGATTTAATGTTTAACATAAAGTGAAATTGAATTCTGAGTTTAAATTCATCGACTATAGGCAAATGATGTAATCAGATTACTTTTCCTTGTATTTATAAACATTGAAACAAAAACAAAATTGCAGCTGGAATGCTTTCATGTACAAACCACGTGAGCTGTATATTTGTTATGTTTTTGCATTAACAATTCAAAAATAATATTAAAATGTTTGGCATTTTAAAGTGAACCAAATTATATTCACTGTTTTGTAGGAAATGTGCTGCTCTTCAGTGTTTTTTCCATTCAAAAATGTCTTGCAGACAGCAGCAAGGCTAAATATAATTATTTTCCAGATGGGGTGGAAAATGATGATAATATTGTTACTAATTGCATTCATTTGAATATAATGAACATTTCAGGTTATGCTCATGGATTTCCAGTCAGGTTTGGTCATGTTGATGTAGATTTTGCACAATGTCTACCCACTGATCATTCATATGATGCTATTAATATTGTTTTGAAGGAATTTGGTAACATGTACATTCTCAAATTATGAATTGAGATTTTTTTATATTTGTAGTGCTGTTTGTTTTTATTGAACTGTGAACCTTTTCAGTTGTATCTGTTCAGGTGATTTTGAATACTTGTAAAGGAGAAACATGTAGATGGCATTTTGGAGTTCTAAGTGCAGTGAATCGTTCTGGTTCATCATCAGTGATGTAGCCAATGATTCGTCTTGCCTGGGATAACTTGATTCAAAATCTGCTTGATTCACATTCTTTAATGTTCTAAGTATATTTTATGTCTACTATTCTTGTCTTTGAAGACAAGAAATGTGCTTTCAGGCTCTGCAGTGAAGTGGCTAAATGTTGATGTTTGTAGCTGAAAGTGTGTAGATATTGTGCAAGCCCAAGATAGTGTTTACTTTGTAGGCTAGGGGGTTGGTTAGTGTTCTAAATCTCTATGCATGTAACATAAAAGGGTTGGCTTGCTGTGCAAGATAAAGTAATATTGCCATTTTGGTTTATTTACAATGTCATTTCATGATTGGATGGCTAGTATGTTGTAATACATTAAACAGTACAAAAAAAGTCAACCTTTCTAAGTTACTAGAAACAAAAATTAATGTTGTCCGTTGATCTTGTGGTAAAAATTGTTTCACTTGATGAAACTTTAATTTTTATGCTTCATCAGATTGTGAATGTTTTTCAGTGATGACATTCTTTACCTCTACCACTTCAGGTTATTTTAGTGTATCAATATATGCCACTAAGTGGTTTTCTGTAATGTAGTGCAAGTCCATCAGCATCGGAAACTATATTTTATCCTTTATTGACCACGTTAACATAATTTAAGCAGTGGGTTCCAGTATGTTACACATACAGAAACATTGTCAGCTGTCCATTCTCCTTTCTGAAGGTCTGGCCAGTGAGACATGGTTCTGTATTGGAAGCTTTCGGTTAGTGGCTCAACCAGTGCTTGAATCTAACTTCATTTAATGTGAACTATATGTGATTAGATGTTTTGCCTGTTTAACAGGACAGTTTACCAGTCTAAAACTGCATTATCACCCAAAGATATACCACTATAGCTGTTATGTTTCTCTACATTCTAGGAAGTTGTTAATTGCTTTAACTCTTTGTAATGTAAGAATGTCACTAATTCTTCTGTGTGAGACAAATTTACATAGATTATTAGTAAATTTAGTGTTGTAGTTTCATGCTGATAGACTTTTGTGACATTCTGTGTATTTAAAAGTACTGTTATGTGTTGTGTTGTGTCCTATCTTGGCTGTATGAAATCAGAGACTGGTAAAAATGTTACAGATTTCAGCACTGTGTGACAAGTAGTTGAAGTTGATTTCAGGACCTGGTGAGCCCTGATAAAAAGTGTTGTGTGGACTAATTAAACATTTTATTAAAGGTGAGTTACAATTGTTTTACTGTGGGGATCGAGCATGTGAGATTGAAGTGGCTTCAGCAAAACTTGCATGTTTTTTAATCTTTGGAGTAATTAATGCATGAAAGGTTATGTGAACAGTTTGTATTTTAATCTTATGAATTGAAATACAGAGAATGAATCAAAACGTTCTCATTTCCTACAAGTGGACGATTGTGGAAATGTTTTGTTTCCAAAAATATTTCACAATATACGTGCATTTGTATCATTCACTCTATGATACAAATTTTGTGTGGTTTGCTGAATCACTTCAATTTGAAGCACAATCATATTCCCATTGACACATTTCATATAAGAGGAAAGTTTTCAGATGGTTTTATAGATTTAGTTCCAAACCGCTGTTGATTTGAGAATATTTATTGTGCATTACAAATATTGGGTATAATTTGTTTTCATACTTCTTATCAAATTCTAGACTGTCGAGTCACATTGTCCTTTTTTCATAGCTAGTTTTACTGACTGTTGAGTGTAACTCACCTTTTCATCATGCTTCTAATAGGGGCAAGTAATGCAGTATAAAAATAAGTATTCACATGTTAGGCAAAAGGGGAAGGCCCACAAATATTTATTGTTTGGAATCTGCTGTACATGCTTTTTGCAAAACTGTTCACATCTTGCCTGAGGATATTGTGATATCTACAGATGTTAACAAAGTTAGGTCAGGAAAATAACAAAGATTGGGTTGTTTGCAGATGGTAGGTTAAGTATTTATACTGACTGGTTTAGATCATGTGATGATGTGTTTCTCAGGTTACGTTATGGTTGTAGTTGGTGTAGCAAGGGTGCGAGAGAGGAATTTGAAATGTTACGTTCATTACAGCCATATCTCATGAGTGTAGCTTTTGGGTTAAATTTGTTATGATGATTACAGTTCACATTCTTCAGTAGGCATAATATGATATATGGCTATGGGTAAACTTGACAGGAACTTAAAATTAAAGGAAGTTGCTATAATGTATCTGAAATGTCAGTTAGATGAACTTTTCAACTTATTCATCTAGTGGCAGAATGTTAAACACATTAAACTTCTATTTTTTTTTATTTTGTCATGTCTTATGGATGAATTTTGTTCTCAGGAATAAGAAACCCCCCTGTCCTAAAACAGGTATAAGGAAGTGTCTGATACTCTTCTTCAGTAAGACTTTCGTCATTTTTAGTGTTGCCAGGTTCAGCCAGGTCCTCACCCCACTGGTGTGTGTTTCTGGTTTGAGTAGTCTAATTCCTTTTCATGAATAGTTGTGCAACATGCTTCATGTAGTCACAGTCCCATTTTGCCACATACAGGTGCCATCAGAGTTCTGGAATAATATTTTTATTTTAAATTAAATTATGTAACTCATCTTTTTAGTATCTACCTCACAGTGGAACTGTTTCCACTTACACTGCGTTCTTGATTAATCTGTGATAAGTGCAAGGAACTTAGTAATTCATTTGCCTTTACAAATGGGTTTCCCACGAAATCAAGGCTGACTTCCCTACGATTCTCAGGTCTTAAACTGGTTTTAGCCATAACACAAAAGCTATGAGTGATGTACCTGAACAAGTGATGCACATTTGGTAGTCGAGATATGTCTGCAATGCATGGAGCTTTCGGTGCCTTTTCGTACCGATCGTGTATCAGGATAATTCCTGGAGGAAACACGTTGAACTAGTGTGGTGTTTCATTCCAGTAATTATTCAATAAGCTCTTGCAGAACCATATGTAGTATGTGAAAATGGGTTGATTGTTGAAGTGGAAAATTTTATTAGCTGTCAAAAATATTTCAGTTTTGTTTTCTTGTCATTTTTTGTTTCACCTTGTTATCAGTGGTCAATATTTGTTTTGTTATGACTTTGTGATGATTTATTGGACACAAATACAGGTTAAGAAATTTTTGAATTGATATTAATATGAAATAATGAAGACATGATTAAAAATACAAAAAAAGAAATGGAGTGAGCATAAACTGTTTTTAGAACATTTTCTTGTTAAAATGTGGTTTTTTAATGTTTGGTATCAGATAGTTGTGTTGCTTTGTACTAGGATGTTATGCTCATGGTGATCATGCCTTACATACATTTGGTGGAACGTAATTTGCACACACATGTAATAATTACTGTAATACAACAAAATGGATGTTTGAAAATTCAGTTTGAAAGATTTCACAGATTACTAAAAAACTAAATTTGTTGCTAATATCGTCCATACTTATTTGTTTTGTGTTGCAGCACCATCATACCCTTTGAAAAATTATCAATACACTTATTAGAAGTACAAACAGCATGTGTGTTTGTATTCATCAGTGTTTCTCCTGATTCAACTGCAGGCATCATTAATGTAGATACAAACTGATCAATTTTCATTGAATTTTGTATGAATATCATTCCGTTGGATCCCTTCACATGGTGTAATATTTTTACTTTTAGTTCCCTGTTATGCCAATTTAGTAATTCTATAACATAAGGTAGGAGCACCACAGATGTCAAATAATGTTGTGTCGCAATGGAGCTCTTAAAGGTAGACAGATTTTATTGGCAGTTTTTAGGAATGTGGGGACCTTGTGAAATGTTTTAGTTTATTGATTACTAACTAATCATACTTGTTACTTAATGTCACATAATTTGTGGGTAAATAGTGGAGGTCAGGGCGTGATGCTGACCACTCACCCCCATCCAGTGCTGAGGTCAAGAAAGAGTATTAGCTATACCTCCACTCCCCCCAAGCGCCTGTATGGCATGTAGCGGGACAGCTAAAAAAAATGGTGGAGGTAATGTCCCTGGTACTTATTAAGCATCACACTATGAATACAGAGTAATGTAGGTGTAGCTCCACTGTTGACTTTAGCACTAAATTGCACAAGTTGCTTTGCCTCTGAGCAATAGATCCCCAGGAGGCTAGTTGACCCCCACCAGTCTGGATGCAGAGGGTAACAGATCAAAACCCAGCAATCCATTTCATACTACTTTGGATCCCTGTTGAGCATAAATAGTGATGTTTTAAATAACGTATGCCTTTTGTGTGAGTAGTGTCTGCTGTAGGAACTATATTTGCAAGTTCTCGCATGGGGTGAAGATCAAGCTGATGAGCGCTGTGCATCTCCGCCCCTTTTCCCCTTATTTCAAAAATATTACTGTGTTTAAATTTGCAGTATGCAGCTGACACTAGTCCCATCTTCATCATCAGTCCAGCTTTCAATGTTGAAAGTTGGTGACCCATCATTAGGCACGTTCCACAATCTGTCTTTGTCGGTCCCGATCTTCTACCTCTCTGAGTAGGAGGCCCAGTGGCAGATTCGATTTCTCTTCCACCTGGTCCACCCATTGCCTTGGGGATTTTCTGCGCAATCTTTTCCCTTCAACCTTTACCTGGACAATTTTTTCCTGTTGCCATACAATATGCCCAAAGAACTATAGGAATCACTGATAGCATATGGAGGGCAGTCTCTTCTGCACATCGAGTTTGTTGAGTATCGAGTTATTGGTTCTTTTCTCCATCCATGATACTCTCAGCATCCTCCTGTATGCCCACATCTCAAAAGATTCGATTCTTCTGGCTTCTGCCTTAATTGTCCACGTTTCCGCACCATACAGGAAAATTGGAAACACCAGAGTCTTCAACAGTCTCAGTTTTAGTGCGTCTACTTATACTGCGATCCTTCCAAATGACAGTCGGTTTTGATACAGCATCTCTAGCTAGTACTATTCTTCGACGTATTTCCTCAGTAGAGCCACTACCTTTTCCAACCATGGAACCTAGATAGATAAAACGACCCACTTTTTTCATACTCTGGCAGTAAGTCCGTTTGTGGCAGGGACTCAGCTCTGTATATTTTCATAATCTTTGTCTTTTCCTTATTAATTGATAAGCCAAGCTTCTCACTTTCCTCCTCAACCATCTCCAACAGTTCTTTCATTTCAGCTTCTGATTCTGCACAAAGTGTGGTGTCATCAGCAAATCTCAGGTTGTTGATTTGTCACCCCCCAACTTTAACTCCACCATTCCAACCCTCCAGACTTTTTCTCATGATATATTCTCCATAAATATTAGTTTAAATATTAACAAATGCTACTTTTTGCTGCAAACATTCCTGTTTATTTTTTCTCTTTACAAAGCCCGAATTATTCATTTTGAGGTTGTTAGTAATGACTTTAAATAATTTAATTGGTACTTCGCATTAAATAAGTGATTTAAAGTCGTGATATAGAAGAGCGACATTCACCATATACAGGTTGAAACGAAAGGTCTCCATTGTGGTTCCTTTTCTTAAAAGGTCGGAAGTTTTAGGCATGTGAGCTGTGACGTTCTATTTGCATGGTGCACGTCACTGTCAAATGGCGCAAGCTATCAAATGACAAAACCCTGGGACGCCTCGTAGTTAACGTTAGGTGGTCGAAACTGACTCCGTCCACTTCAAGGCAGACGGTAGTGCGCGGTTTATGTATCATAGTGACAAAACTGCTGATGCAAGAATGGTATAACCGCCCTTTGCTTTATGGTTGATTTTCCCACCTCATGCATACCATGAAAATGATAACTGGGATGTTTGCCGTAATGTTAACACTGAACATACGACACGGCTCTCACCCGAAAGCCGAAGTTATACATTTTGACATGATTCATGCATCACCAATTTAACAAGCTATGTGTAAACCTGTAACTATCGCGAATGAGCCTTTAAGTAGTACTTTAAATTGTATTTCATATACTACTACAATAATTGTATTATTGTAATTCACGTGACGAGCGTTAAAACAATATCCAATATAGGTTCATTTGGTATTTATAAATAACTCAATATCTAAAACGTATACGAAAAGAATTGGTATAACAACAGGCTACTGCTGGAATCAGTAGGACATATGTTATGTTGGTAATATCCATAGAATACACCACAAATCCATGTATTATCTGTGTGTGGTATGGAGGATAAAGCATACATTCCTCAGAAATTTAATAGAACTTTAGCTCCATTTTCTTGCTCTTTTCACATAGCATAGTGTATGTATTGTTTTCAAGATAATATTAATATATTTTTCAAAAATAAATAAATGAACAGCATTAAAGAGAACTTGAAGACATTAAAATACGATTTATTATAAAATCTTCGACTCAAAAAGTTTTCATAACTCCCTGGCGGACGAAATCCAAAACACAGTTCTTGCTTCTTTTATCCTACTCATTAGTCAGAAGTGGTCACCATTTGCAAGTTTATGTATATATTTGGTTAGGACTCGTCGAGGACATATTTTTAAAAGATGATTAACATAGTTTCCAGGTCTGCGAACTTGGCACCATACTTGAAAGCGTCAACACAGGCTGTTGCGTCTCACATAAAGCAGCTGAACCCTGCTGTTCCATCACCAGTGAAGATTGTCGTTCCACCAGCTTTAGAATTGCTCACAAGTTTTTCCTTAAGTAATTCCTTACCTTCTGCTCCAGTCCGAGCATTGTCTGGTCCAGGAGGTATATGCAGAATTTGTTCTATAAATTCACATGTTCCATAAGACTTTTTCACAAAGTACTTGGCTTGTTTGGTATGACCTTTTATGATGGTTACAGTTAGTCCTGAAATTGCATTGATGTTTACACCTGTAACTTAATTCGTATTTATAAAATTCAGTTCGATCTAAATCTGTTGGACATTTCATTTGGAAAAAGTAAGCCAACAAATGTGAACAAGTTCTAGGAATGTAATCTGATATTTAACTCATCAAGGTAATGCATAGTGTGGTTTGATGTTGCAAGTTGGATCTTATTTTACACCTAACCATGCGGTTTGTTTTATTTCAGTGACAACGCAAGTAAGATTTGCTCATACGGATATACAGATTCCAGATTTTTCTGCATATAGAAGGAAAGATGTACAAGATATTACTGCAGTCACTAGAAGAAGTGAAGATGCACGTAAATCCTTCTCATATCTTGTTGTTGGAGGTTGGTTGATAATTAGTTTGCCCTGAAAACTTTATGAATATAATATTGCTAGCTTTCCCGTACTTGATGGTGTATAAAATTGTACTTGTTGTGGCATAGAAGAGAGTTATATTTACTAGTAGTGACTTGTAGAACTATACAAGGAGAACTTTAAATGAAAAGTGACCACACTGCCTTCAGTATCCAAATTATCTTACTGAGGACACACATCAGTAATGTGCTAGTTTCATAAGTGATAACAAAGTGAATTCACTTTTTGTGATAACTTGCAGGTACTTATTTAATATTAGCTCTGTCAGTCAATAAGCCTGCCAACTCCCTCCTTTGAAGCTTTCACTGCATTATGACATAACTAGCTATGCTGAATAAGAATGAGCTATATCGGATGGAGTGACGGTGCCAACATGGAACACAAGAAATGAGAAACATTTTTTAAGTCCTGCAAGTATTTCTACTTTCTGGAATGATCTTATGGTTAGGTTTAATTGAGAAATTTGGCAGGGTACTACGTGCATTTGGGAGTGCTGTGGATGGGGGGTGAGAGCAGCTGTGTACCCATGCATTAATCTCATGTTGTGCCTGTGACATGGTCTGATTTTCTTAGGTGGTGCTGTTGTTGGAGCATATGCAGCCAAAACATTAGTGGGTGAATTTATAAGTTCAATGAGTGCAACTGCAGATGTCCTCGCACTTGCAAAGATTGAGGTCAAACTGGGTGACATACCTGAAGGCAAGAGTGTTACCTTTAAGTGGCGTGGCAAGCCATTGTTTATCAGACACAGGTAAAGGCTGTGGAATTTTATTAACTTACAGTTTGAAAAGTTTGAGTGTTTCAATTCATCATTCCAGTTCAGTGGCATTCTTAAAACAGCTGAAATGTATTGTACAGCAGGGAGAGGTTATTGTGTTATGTGATTTTGAGGAAAATAACTTGTTTTGCATGTTGAAACTCAGGATTTTCACTTAAATAATATACAATCCATTTCTTTCCCATCTACTTCAGCAAATCCACTAGAATGGTTTCTGTTCACAACAATTTGATCGTTATCTCAAGTTGTCTAAAGCTTAACGCAACACTTAGCTATCTCTTCCAGTGTTATTTGATACAGTTCCTAAAGTACAAGTTTGCAAATGTCATTATATCTAACGTAATTCTTTTCTCAGATGTGTCAGCTGCTCAGTATGAATCAGGACATTTTTTTAAATCTCAACTTTCCACAGTAAAAATTGTGGAATCCAAGCAAAATGGCATTTAAAATATAAATGTTTGCTATGTGTTATTGTAACTTTTGATGAGATATGTACTGTCTACAAATGAAATCACTGAAGAACTTAAAAAAATCCTCATCGTCAGTGGTCATTCTCCGTCATACATTTTTCCATCTTATTCAGGTATTATTTTGTGAATTCAGGAATCAGCGTTGTTAATGAAGGTGAATAAGACACATCTGTAATGTGACATCCTGAAAACATGTCAGCAACACACAAATTCCAGCAGTGAACTGCTTAAAGCCAACAGAATTTATTTCAGCATGAAACTTTATTTGTAAAATGTTTGTCATACAATATTACTTCAGTTTCTATCACGTGCCTGGATGTACAATTTTATACTATCTGTACTCACGGCATTTCCAACCTGAAATCTGAACAGTGCATATGAAACATTTTTTAAACCTTGAGAAATCAAAGGTCAGAGTTCAAACATGATGGGACTAATTTGAACCATCACAATTAGGAACAGAGTTACAACAGTTCAAAAACACGTGGTAATGCCATAAAGTGATGTTTTTTATAAATTCAAATATGAATTAACAACGGACTATCTACACCTACAGGCCTGAGTTGTGGGATGGTATCTCATTTCTGTGAATGGTCGTACCTCACCAAAGTTTATTAAAATCTGTTGAATTTTGCACATTCCTCCGTTGTTTTGACGTGGAATGCCCTGCATGTTTAAAGGCTGTGTACCGTATTAGTGGTGTTATATACTGTCCTACTGGGAGATGGCTGTCTTTGGATATTAGTGCCATGTAATCTGGTAGAATTTTACCAGTGTTTCATGGTTCCTTGCTTTGGCAGCATCATTTCGGTGATCCATAATCACTGTGTAGTATGGTAGAAATTTACTGACATTTCAGAGCTCCTTGCTGCCTCCATCACCAGAATGTTGGTGGATCACCCTGAACATTGGTAAATTTCTGCCAGATCAAAATCCTACTTGTCTCACTGGAATTCCAACTCTGAATTATTGTTGTGTAGAACACCAAGTGAAATTCAGACAGAGAGGAGTGTTGACGTACCGTCTCTCCGTGACCCTCAACATGACGCTGACAGAGTGCAAGAAGCTGAGTGGCTAGTGATCATTGGTGTGTGCACGCATTTGGGCTGTGTGCCTATTGCAAATGCAGGTACAGTTCACGCTTTGACTTTGGTATTTATTTCAGTCCTCTACTTGACGCTGCCCCCTCCCACGACAAGGACAATGGGGCTGGACTTTGGGAGGGTCTGTAAGTGGCCTTCTGGCTGTTGATGCAGCACAATAATGAAGAATTGAATTGGGTTGTTGCTGTACACACACAAATATTGATTCAAACTGTGCAGTTCTATAGATTGTGATGTTCAAAAGCAGATGCAGATGTTTGTCTGTAAAGAATACACAAGTCCAGTAACTTTTATTAACAAGCAAAAGTCAGTTATCGTCATCATCCATATTAGCGCTTTATCATTTCTGCAAAGGAAACAATTTTTTATTTTTTTTTTGTGATTTGTTATTGACATTTTGATTTAATGGGTTCGTGTTCAAATTCGAATGTTGTCTGATTTTGTATGCAGAAGCATTTTTGTTTCTTGTGGTATACCATTTACTTACATAAAATATGTATTAGTATATTAGTGCCTGAAAGAGCTGTTTCCAGACCTGTCATTTTTAAAGAGATGTCCAAAAGACTGAGCTTGAACCACAGATCTCATTTGTCTCGCCATGGATGATAATACTGAGGATTGCTTTTTATTCACTGACAAAAATTACTAGACTTTGTATGCGTCATAGACAGATGATAATCACGCATTCGAATATTACAATCCACATATTTCGGTATCCATTTCCAGTTGCTCTTCATATGATTTCCACAGGGACATTTTTAAACACGTAGTTCAATAATTTAAATCTGCACACTTTAAATGAGTTTTTGTGCTAACATCATGACTCAATCTTATAAATTTGACCTAAGCATCAGTGTTAGTCTTTCCAAATTTGTCTATCTGTGAACATGGATGTTGATGTGAAGAATACTCTTCGCCTTAGTTTTGCTGTAGAATTTAGTCGCAGATAAGTCGTAAACATTAGTGAACGTTCCCAATTTATCTACCAAGGAACGTGGGTGTCCCAAGGGAAGTATCATCTCTTCATCTTAGTTGTCCTGTGATAGTAGATACGTGTCTTTGAAAAGTCATCAACATTGATTTATGTTTTTTTCGAAGTGTGTAGGTATACTGGTGTGTCTGCGTAATAGACATCTGGCATAAGTACAGTAAAACCTCTCTAAGTTGGACACTTGGGGTTCCACGAAAATGTGTCCAAGATATAGGGAAATAGAGAAATCAGATTGTGGTCTAATGACAATATAATCTATTTACTTACATAAACTAACCACTGTAGGCTTACTTTAATTAAGAATTAATGACAATAGTATTGATAATAATCTTTTGAAGTCCATTCCCATGCATTGGACATTACACCCCAGCCTCAATAACATTTTCTAAAGTTTATTCCACCAATTTTCGCTTCCCCATCGCAAAGAGAAAAATTCCATTTCTGTTAACACAGTCTGAACTCAAATGCAAGTGGAGTTAAAACTGTGTCTTCTGCAGTACTGTCGACCAGTTAAGGGTTCAGCAAAAGAATAGTTAAACACTTGCAATACTTTCCAATTATGGTTTTAATGTCCATAAGATAATCCTCCAGAGAGGAGGCATTCAACAGTCAGAAATTCAAAATAACAAAATATGTAACTGAAAAAGTTTTCCTGAAAAGCATCGAAGCTAAGTGCATGAACCTGTCCAACTTGCAGCAAAAGGGGTGTCCAACTTGAGAGGCTTTACTGTATTTGTAATTAATGGAAGGTAGTGAAAAGCCACATGTGGATAAGTAAAAGGAAAATGGAATTGATTGGACTTATGATATCAGCTGTACACGTACATCTTTTCCACCCTAGGATTTAGTGGATATTAAGTGCATGAGTTTGTTGCAGAGTGTTTACATTATAGAACTGCATGCTTTTATGGTTTGGTTATGAGCAAGCATATTTAGAACACTATGTTCACCTACTAACACTGCGTTTTAATTCACTTCATATCTTTGTATCTTCATTGGGAGCTAATTAATAATTTGACTTGTTCTTGTGCAGGTGATTTTGGTGGTTATTACTGCCCGTGTCACGGTTCACATTATGACTCGTCTGGCCGTATTCGAAAAGGACCTGCGCCTCTTAACCTTGAAGTTCCACATTATGAGTTCCCTGGTGATGGAACCATAATTGTGGGTTAAATGTAGATACAGTTTAAAGAACTATTTAGCAGGCAGAGATTTTTGTCCAGAGGACATGTTATGAATTATTGTGTGGCTGACATCACGTGGTGCAATGTTTTTACCCAAGATGTTGATATACTTGTGTATTAAAGTGAATAGAATAAACCATTTGCCTGTAAGTAAATCTGTACAGTAGATAATAAAATTAAATGTATTATACCATGAGTTGGCGTTGATTATATACTTGGCGTACCTTTCCTGTTTGTAACACTTATTTCTCATATTGTATACGAATTTAAATTTGTGCATATCATTGTTTTAAAGTATGATTCAGATGTGCGTTGTAATGAATGATTGCCCTGTCTAGTACGTGCGTGTTGGAAAGATTTACAAGAAAGTTGACAGTTTGATCAGTTGAAATATTTTCTTGAACTCAGTACATCAAAGTAATTTCTTTTCTTCGTCGACATGTGACACAATCGCCAAGCCCATGACAGTCTGCGTGGATCATAATCATGGCTAACATGATTTATCTTGGCAGGAATCAAACATATTTTAAGTCATGGAGTGCAACATGTCTTACTGTGTGTTGATTTAATAATTTCACAATGGTAAGTTTTGATTTCATTGTGAGATTTTAGTTTATAGTGTGCTTTTGAGTATATTTAAAACTTAAATATTAGGTGCCTGTTCTTAGATATTTCTTACGCTCATGATTTCCATACATCATTTGTAACATGGTTCTCTTAACTTTAATGTGCTTTTCCACATTGAAGAGAAGTGTTCCATCCATGACATAGTGAGCTTCTCCAGATTTTAATGACAGAGCAGAAAAATGTAACAATCATAACTTCATGCTTCTCAACATGGAATGGCCATCTCCCATGTTTCTTCTCATGAAAAATACTCTTATAAAAAAGAGCATGATTTTTCACATATTAGAGCTGCTTTATCCACAAGACTAAAAGGTACTTCTCAAGAATGTTTTCATGACATTTCAGAGGTGCTCACTTCAGTAAACACTTTTGAAATGTCAGACAATCTCTACCAAAGTAAGTGACGTGAGAACCCGATGTCTCAGCTTTATAAGCTTTGTCCATGATTCTGATGAGAAACAACTACACTTTTATAAGTTACTGTATGAGATTTCGTTAAATCTAGTACCACTGTGTTTCTAAAGATGAGGAGAACATACACTAGCAGTTCCTTTCAAAAATATTCATTAGCATTCTGGACAGGTAAAGTTAGGTGAACTTGAATAAAAAAAATTTTCCATTAAAAACATTTGTATATAACCTCATGACTTTAATTCATAACTTACACTTGAAAGTCACTGTAATTTATTTTAAATGATGTGTAACAAGCAATAATACTAAAGTTTACATATGTTATTCAGGTTTACTGCTTTTACATGAGAAAAACCAATGTAAATAAACTAGGAAAAATTAATCCTTGAAACTAGAATACATGTAAAGTGCCTTAAGATCTTCATGCAATCTGGTCTTAAGCAACTGCAATGACCCAAGAAAACACGTCTGCTGAAACCTGAACATTGCAAGAGTCAATGAAAATGAAATGGCAGTTAACGTTTATCTATAAATGATCAAAACTGTGTCAAACAAAAATTTCGTAGGTTCTCCATATAATCCCCAACTGTGGTATAATTCTGTCGAGATAAGTTGCTGAATATCGGTCCCTTCTAAAGATATATGCATGTAGCTGCAAGATGATGCCCTTCTTGAGGTCATGTAACGTCTTGTGATGCTCATACACACGGTTACCACAGACATTCTTCCATTAATTGAGTAACTGCTCTTTACTCACTTTCAGGAGCCATTTTGACAACATGGTGTGATGTCACATGACAGGTACGTTAACAGTTGGTGTGCAGCTGCTTACCCCAAAATTTGCTTTGATCCGGAAACCTATACCTCCACTAAAAGTATTGAAACTATCACCCTCCTTGACACACTGAGCTGCAACCAGGTACTTGGTGCAGCCCCCTCCTGAAACCATATAAAGAGAATCAAGGGGCATCCACTGCTGTACATATTCTAACACAAATAACAGGGATTTTTGTTTCAGTATTTTAGAATTTTGTCTAATGGAAAAGTTTTCACAATAGATACAGTGATCTGCTTTTTGAATTATGTTTTTTCTAAATATACAAATACATTATTTCTGTGGCTTATCCTACATCCTATGCAGGATTAATAAACAACAAAACTGATCAAAACTAGATTCTGGGGGCTATGACCTCATTAAACCAATAAACACTGCTTTATTAACAAAGTACTAAAACTGACTGAATGCAACAGTGTTCCTTAACTGCAGACACCAGTGCTGAGGCCTGCGGAAACTGTGTGGCTCATTGCGTTTGTTCTGGTGAATCCTTACAAAATCACCTTCCAGAAAGTGACTGCTACACTAGTACTTCTTGAGCAGCATTTTTGAAAGCTTCCTGCCCATTACATGGCACTGTAAAAGTAATAAATTCTGTATTACAACTAAACAAAATCGTTCATTTGGCAAGAAAAACAAACTTGTCAGTGTTGTGGAGTTTTGAGGTAATGTTCAAGAAATTTAATGTAGAGAAAGCTAAATTGAATTACGATAGTAACAACAGATTTGTAGTCCTGGAAATCTTTAACAGGAAAGTAAGCTTTGTGAGTTCTACATGGAACATCTTGTTTTGTCTTTGTGAGCATTTTACAGTACTCCCAATTATAGGCTGTTTGGTGTTATGAAACTGGTTATTATGATCATTATACAAGGAATTATCTTAAGAAATGTTCATGCAAGACCAAAAATGAAGCAATTACATTTGTGAATAAAATAAAATATAATTCATGCCGAATTCCGAGGAAAGCTGAAGAATTTAAGCTGTTTGATCATCATCTGATTTACACCCATGTAATGCAATAGCAATGTATGAATCACACAACAGTCATGTATATAAAAAGAATGCTTTGTCTTCTGTAGTCTGGTAGAAGTTTACCTGTGTGTCAGAGGTCCTTGCTGCCTCCATCATCACTCTGATTGGGGCACCAAGGACCTCTACCAAATTACATTGTGCAAGAACCCAGAAAACAGCAATTTTCAGACTTACTGATGTGAAAACCTCGTATTCTACAAGAACACTTTGTGCTTAAAAGTAGGCCAGACACTAACAATGATATATAATCAGAACTTGCCTTAGATTATGATTCAGTATCAGAGCATAACAAAATTCAAATCTTATTTGTTTTTACCGCCTGAACTCAAAATCAAGTACGTGGCTGCTTCCTGATTGGTTCCTACGAGTGAGCACTGCTCTTACCGGCAACATCAATCGTATGTAGCGTGTATTTCGTGTGTACCTTGTCCAAGCAACTCTAGATAGATACTAATAGATGTCGCGAATGTTTGTTGCCCCTCGACTTATATTGAATGCAATAGGATGTTCGTTGTCTACTATCACTAGTTCAGATGTTGGTGTTCGCCACGAAGGAGAGATTTTGAAGTTTGAAGTGGTAGATAACATCTTTTGAAAATTGTCACAATTTGTAGTTATGCGTAGCATTGTATACAAACTGCAGGGATTAGCTGCAAATGACCAAGCAGTTATAAGAAGTCGGCGAGCGACGTTTGGATATAAGGTACTTCGGTCTACAAATTTGATTAATAAAAAGGAAAGCAATTTGCTTAGAAATGTATAAAGATAACGTAACGGAATAAGTCAGTTTTATATGATATTGAGTTTTCACGGCGACTATGTACAATAAAATCCTCTCGGGCTATCAGCCGTGTCAAGTGGTTAAAACATGAAAAGACGAACGTTTCGAGGTCCATCTCTGCCCTCGTCCTCAGGGTACTCCACAGTATCATATATGTACCTACTCCAGCCCCGTTTGACTGCTGGATGACGTCACGATCTCGCGTTGTTATGCTCAGCTTACCGGTTAGACAACATATTCAACACAGGAAACCAGGCCCGGCTTTACATAAAACTCCGTCTCTGTTGATATTTGCGGTGTTCAATCGGATTTCAGTTGCCTCCTTCAGTCAGTTTTAATTGGAACAACAAAATTTATTTACATGCTCTATAACTTTCACAAATACACTTGGACTTCCCCAGATGGTAGCATACACAATCAAATAGATCATGTTTTAGTAGATAATAAAAGGCGACAAATATAATTGATGTGAGGTCATTCAGAGGAGTAGATTGTGACACTGACCATTATCTATCTGGTAGTGGCAAGAGTGAGGAGTGGCTTTCAGTAAGTAGGTGGACAAAGCAAAATTTCTACACAAAGATTTGATTTGAAAAAATAAGTGAGTGAGAAGTAAAGGAACTATATCAAATTTAAATCTCAAATAGGTTTCATATTTTAGAGACAGATAAAGATAATTAAAGTGTGGATATCACATGGAGTGGGAAAATGTCAGAAACTGCTTGCAGATCCAATCAAAATTTTGAATAGGTGGAAAAATTTCTTTGACGAGCTCTTAAATGTTCATGAGACTGATGATGTTAGATAGATTAAAATACATACAGCTAAACTGTCAGTGCCAGAACCTAGTTTAGATGAAGTTAAACTAGCCATTTGGAAGTTGAAAAGTTATAAATCTCCAGGTATTGATCAAATTCTAGCAGAATTAATTAAAGCAGGTGGCAAAAGGTTGCATTTGAAGATCCATACGCATATTCAGTTAATTTGGGATAAGGAAGAGATGCCACTACAATGGAAGGAATCCATAATTATTCCTATTCATAAGAAGGGGGACAAGACAGTTTGGTAATTACCGAGGAATTTCTCTGCTATCAACCTCGTACAAAATTCTACCAAACATTCTTCCTCTCTTATTCATGACTTTCTCAAGCATTTTAGAAAAAGCTGTTACTAATAAAATTGGTCTCTAGTTAGATATGCATGATTTTTCACATTTTGTGTATGCAGGTTTGCCTTTTGAATATTCAAGTCATTCAGGAGAAACTCCTACTAACATTGATTGATTGCAAAGATGAGTTACAGGGACTCTAATGTAGTCTACATAGCTTATGACAATCTGGAAGGCTGTGGAACTGGTACAGTGATGGTACAGGTGTTCTTAGTGATCATCTCTTATCCTCTGTTTAAAAGTAATGTGATGTATCAGATATGTCACAGTGACAGTACTTTCTTACTGAATTATCCGTCTTTCCAGTAATCTTTTTTCATTGTAGACATTTATATCTGTAATAAACTTCTCCCAAACACTACTGACTTCTGTATTATTGTAATTATTAGTTTTTTACACAGCCTAAACGTTAATAACATTTTTACCTTTCGTTTCTTTAGGTGCAGATATGGCATTAAAAAAAGAAGAAACATCAGATGATTTTGCCAAGGTGGAAGATAATAATGGTAACATATTGCATTATGAGTAACAGTTACTTTTCGCTGTGGTAAACACAACTTAAAGCTTCAACACAGTTAATATAAGACCTTCCTGTTGGCCTTGATCTTGAACTATTTCTATGCACATCTCATCCTCACAACCTTTGTCCCATGATCCATCTTAAAAACTTTAAAAGCATTGGCACAGTAACATGATTGGAAAGTTGTAAACAGTGCTGGAAAAAGTCTCCATGAGCATTCTTTTCTCTTCTGAATTCTGAATCCTTTTAGATGAAACAGAGAACTATGGTAGTCACATATAATACACGTGCATCACCGTAAGTAGCATCTATATAAACATTACGATAGCATTACTGTACCAGGTTTGTGCAAAGTGTTTTTTTTCTTTTGCATGGTAGAGGTAAAGCTAGGTATTGTTTATAATCAGGCAACTGCTTTTTGTGTGTGTTAATATGAAATCAGGGTTCATTTAAGAATACAGAAATTCTGTTGACTTTGTCAGTGAATGGTTACAAATGTAAAGATGAGATATTTCCACATTTATGACATTCAGAAACATAAACTGGCATTTCATCTTAGACCATTTTCATCTTATTTTTAAGATCTTCAACATGAGTTTACAGATATTCTCTATATCACATTTAACCAACCTACATGAAGCAGGGACTCTGAATTCTTCTTAATCTATGAAACCAGAACAGAGCTGGATTTTCACTACATTCTCTGAATTGAACTTGCATGTCCTGAATGAGACAGCTTCACAGATCTTGTCAGTCTTTTAACAGGGAAGTGAAGATTGTTTTTGTTGTAGATTATGTCATTGTTTGTAGCTGAGGAATGTAAGTATACTCCCCTGCCATGCATTTTATATGGGATATTTGATTTTATTGCAAAATTGTAATTCAGTTCCTTGAACTAAGCTAAGAGAAGAAGAGGGTGGGGAGGATAAGAGTGAAATTCATTTGCCATGAAGAGGCTAAACAGTTTGAAAATACAAGCAAACATTACAAACTGTTTCTCAAAATAAACATCAGTTTAAAAAAAGTAAAATACTGTACAAAGTTCTGTGAATGCACCAAACAAAATGTGGGTTTATCTGTGTTTTTCAGTTATTCATGTGTGTTCTCCCCAGCATTAATCCATATAATTGGGAAGTTTGGTGTCCACATTAGCAAAGAAAGTAAACTGTGGCTCCATTGTAATATTGTACAAGTCAAAGTTTGATTTTGATTATGTAATGAATGCTGCATGATACGAATAGAGCTGTTCTGGTGACGCTATAGTGGAAACATTGCTACGTTACAAAAGTAGACTGTAGTTGTGGTGTCAGAAATATAAATATTGTTACAAGTCTTTTTCTTCGGTGGTCTTGTTCCTGAGACTGAAACATTCAGTGGACCCAATGGATGATCTTCCTATACGTGTGCCATTTTATGACACGCTCTTTGTTAAGAACTAACACGTAGATCAAAATGGTTGTAACTTAGTAATCGTTAGTTTTTATTTTGTTGAAAGGCATCACCTCAAAGGTTCATGCCTTCAACACAAAGAAACAAATAGAATTTGATTTTCTCACAGTGGCAAGCATGAAGATAGCTGTCTTCTGAGTTCAAGTGCCATGTTGTCTGGTAGAAGTTTACCAACATTTCAGATATATTTTCTGCCCCTGTCATCAGGGCAGTGATTACGTAGAAGATGGTCATTTCAGAAATAACAAGTCAAAACAGAAATGAAAGTGCTGTATTTTACCAGTTTCCTGAGATCATGTCATAATGACATCATTTATTTTCAGATGCACGCAGAGTTTATGCAGCCATATCATTTGTTGTTGTCCTCATTGTGATTGGGTTGCCACTCTGGTGGGAAACAACAGATGTGTATCGTGTTCCCTTGCCTTACTCCAGAATTGCCGCTCTTGATAGTTTAGATGTGACCCTGGCAATGAACATCAGCATTACAACTTTAGATGCTGCTCGAGGAGACAAATTGATAGAAGATTTAAAAGATATCCTTAAAACTTCAAGTAAGTGTTAAAATACATAAACCATATATTCAATTTTGTGTTGATTGAAATAAGATAATTGAACAGGGATGTTTGTACTTAGAATTGTTTCAGTTCACCTTCCGTGCACTGCCACTGGAGAAGAAGCATTTCGCTCTTGCACACAGTCCTGAAGGCTTAGAAAGTGGTTCCTTCCACCCGAGAAAGTCTGGGGAGCTGTTCCTCTTGGAAGTTCCGGGACTGACGAGATTTACCCCAAATCATGTTATGGTGGGACTGAAGAGAACCGTTTATTTCTCGTCTGAGGCCAGTGAGTAAGAGTCTAAACAAATTGGAAATTCTCCTCAGCCAAGTTCTCAAATTCTGTCTGACCGCTTTTCACTTCAGTAATAACTTAACCGTAATCTTATGGGAATTCTGGCTTTAAATTCCCATATTTCAGGGCTGCCAGACGATTTAGCTCTGATGTTAACAGTTTACCAATATGTTGGTGCACCACATGGCCAGCTGGATCATGCGTAAGCTGCGTCACACAGATGATAAAAGGTTAATTATATATTCTGTTGTTGCTGTATAGTCTGAGCTGCTAACAGCATTGCCAAATAAACTATTAATGAATAAATTACTTAATAAATATATTACAGCAACCAGAAATAGTCTCAATGTTAATTTATTTCAGATAATTGTGCTAAACAAAAGTACTGATTGTTTATGACTGAACTCTTTGGTTTTGTCCATGGCCTCGGTTTTTGAGACCTACGGTGTTTAGGAAATAGGTCCTTTCTTTTATTTCTCCAGTGTTTGAGACTAGCTCTAGCCTTGGGCCCAACAAAATTGGTTTTCTTTCCTGATGAAGGAAATAAAACAGATTTATGAAATGCTGTGGATTCAAAAACTGGGATGATTGACGAAGCCCAGAAGTGAGTCAAATTGTGTGTTACACGGTGAGATTTGAGGTTTCCATAGCAAAAAGTGTGACGCTGCCTTCTGGGACGTTGTGCCGTGCAGTCTTGTGTAAAATGATTGATGTTTCAGAGGAGGTTACTGCCTGATGATGAAGGCAGTAAGTTCCTTCGATATGTTGGTAAGGATCTGCCGTACTGTTCAGTACTACATCTGAGGAGAGAACCAGAATCCGTAGTGTGTTCACCATAGTCAGAATTTGTAGACCTAGAAGTACAGGAACTGTGTTGCTTAGAAACAAATTATGTTGTTCATTAAACTAATCAGCAACAGGGACACTACTGTTAAATGTTATTTAATTAAATATTAACAATATTGAAAGATATTTTAAGTTAACTTATTATTTAGACCACTTTTCCTCACATTTTATTACATATTCCTTTATACATACACACACAAACGAACGAAAGTTGGCGAGCTGTATTTGAGATACTGCATGAAGTGTGATTGGGCTTTAGATAACATTTTTGGGTTATGTTAGACTAGTAAGGACCAAAATGAATTTTCCCCCAACAACTTTTAGTATGCACCATATCTGACTTAAATGAAATCTGGAGACTATGCTTGTAGACAGACAGACGACATGACATGCCAGTGTGTGTTCATTTCATGCACTTCAAGTAAAGGCTGCAATTAAGGAGAACAACAAATCAGTTTTGATCCATCTCACTTTAGGCTAGGATCTGGAAATGTCTTTGGGATCGCTGGAAGTGACAGTTGTCATTTGGATATGTGCGCGGTACAGCCTCTGTATCACGCGTGCAGTATTAAAGAAGAGTCTGTATTGCATAGATGTACAATTCATAATTTAGGCATCTCTAAGTCAAGAACTCTAACACAATAAATCCTCAGAATTTCACTGTGTGAAAATGGAATTGTGAAATTTGGTTATGTAATCTTAAGGAAGATGTAGAGAAAATTATGTTTGATCAATTCTCACATAATATGAAAATTTGTGTTTCATAATTTTTATCAGCTGTTACAAGGTTATAAAGGGCTCCACATGTAGCATGTCTTGGGAAACATACATGTACAGTATGTGTCAAAAGTTTGGAAAAAGGTCATTCGGATAATGAAGCATAACTTGGAGATAATATAAGTGTAAGTTATAGTTATAAACACTGAATTGATGGCTCAATGTTGCGGTTTTATTAGGGCAGGAGCGAACCACGATATTCCCCATTTTTTTTCTAGCGGCTGTAAAGTTAAGTGAAGTCTTGGAATTGCTGTTATTACGAGAAAAGTCACTAAGGCAAATGGTGGCAGCCATGACAACACCTACAGAGACAGATCAGGATCGTTCAGGACGCCGCCGAATGCCTGCAGCCGAAGAGTATGATATCATGATGACAGTGGTAAATCCAGAACCTGAGAAGTTGCAGATAGACTGGGATCTGCCAGAGGCTGTACAAGGTAATTTTATTATATTGGATTAGTTCATAATATTTGTCACATATCTTCCTGACCTGTAAAACAGACTATTGCTCTTAATGGCAACAGTGTTGTAACGTACGGAAGGTAATATAGGCACTGCAGGTACAGTACAGACCACAAGTTAAGTGCACAGCCAGTATGCAGAAACATTTTGATATAGGCCCATCTAATCTTGGTGGATTTGCTTGTTTATGAAGAATTGGAAATACATAACTTACTAGAATTTGTTGATGTGCGTATGTGGTGCAGCTTTTAGAGGTCAAACCCATGGAGATGTTTGAGATCCATTTATGGTGTTGTACGTGGAGTGTGAGGAATTGAGGGGAGGTAGACATTACTGCCAACTCACAATTTATATTCGGGCTGTTGATTATAGGTGGTGAGTAGTCCTTGGAAAATGGCATGAGCCAGAGTTTTGGTTCTTGGCATCCATCAGTTTATGAGGGCACACGCTGTCTTCTGTTTAACGTGAAACCAACATTTTGTAAGACCCATGGGTCTGGCGCAAGGTTGTAAGCAGAGTGTGGTATACAGTGGTAAGATCAGTAGCTAATGTGAAGGTGGTGGGTCAGCAGTGTTATTTTCCTGCCTAGATGTGGCCGTTGTCCCCGTGAAGTGAGTAGGCTTCTCGTGTTTGTAGAACTGTGGCAGGTGGTATCTGAATGGTGCTGTTATCCTCTGAAGCTGTAGATGATAACTTATTCATCTGTAAATATTAGTGTTCTGGTATTTGCCTTTTTATATTGTTACCTGCAGTGTATTTTTAATTGTAGTTTCATTTTCAGACTACTTGGAACCATTTCTGTACGAGCTGTCACCACTTGCAGGCTACACTGTCAAGTCGCAGTGGCTATACTTTGTTACACTAAATGTTCAACCCAAACTTGTAATTGACACCTCGGGGTTTGGACATCAGCACTATGCCCTTGCAGAGGACTTACTGCCGCAGATCATAACACCTTTAGAGAAGAAACTTGGTGTGTGTTTTTCTTAGTCCTTTTCCTGAAAATAAAACATCTTTTGGAATATTTATGTTTGAAAGAATCGTAGGAACTTTCTTTTACAAGTCAGAGATTTTATTTACTTTCTTCAAATGTGGAGTTCTCAAGTAGGCTGTGACCTCTAATTTCTTACTTCCCATGAACTAGTTAGTTATATTAATGATTTTTCAGGTGGAAATGTGGAAATGCATGTTTCTGTTCTTCACATAGCATCGTTAGGTGGTCGAGATGGCCGACACATGAGCGTTTTTGTAGATAATGAAGTATTAATAAAAGATGTAGGTTGGAAAACTGAAAATGTATGAGGCGTAGGTGGAAGGACAGGGGTCCTCAGACTCTTCAAGCCTGAGGATCACATTCATTGCTTATTTTCAGTTTACAAGCTGCAGGGATATAAATGAAGACATCTTATTGAAATACCGTGACAGTTTATTGAAATTGCTACTAAATTAGACCATCTGTAGCAGAAAGGTTGACATATTACTCAATAATTTTCTTTAACAAAATCAGTCATTAATGATGAAGAATTCTCCTCGGGCTACCGACCGTTTTCGAAATGCTGGTGTTAAATCATGCCTTTTGGCCTAGCAGTGGATATTTTATACCATTTTGCACTGTCATTTCAAAATAGCTTCATATTTTCTCTTGGAACACATCTGAGATGTCAGCTTATTTCAAAAGTGTTCTTGTTCGTAAATTTTCACGTGGACTTTCATATTAACATGGCGGATATCCGGGCAATAGTCGGTTTCATTCCGTGCACGACTCGTCATCCCAACCGAAGGAAGTGGTCATTGCCTAGTTTAAGGTAATATAGCGCTATTTTCCTGGAGGTACTGAGGAAAACCATGACAGACCTCAGTCGAGATCAGAACCCGGCGCCTCCCGAATATGAAGTAGGAAGGCTAACCACTCAACCACGATATTGTGTACCATTGAAGTGACTGAAATATTTTATTCTGTGATTTCACTGGAAGTCCATAAATATTTTCGTATGATCATGTATTTTTTAATTACAGCGTCACGCGTGTCACGAAACCCATGTCTTAACTTCGTCGTATATATACCTCCATGTGAAGCCGCTCCTCTTCACATCTACACCCGACAAGGCGTGAGAGTGAAGGGTGGAGTGGATGCATTTCTGTCCCCGCGATGGGGAGGCATAGTAATTCACAACCCATCCCACATGGTCTGTCACAACTCATCTGTTCCTGAACCAAAGGAATATTCACCAGACACAGTTGCGATCATGGGAGTTTTTCTTGCCCAGTTGAGACTGTTGATGGGTATCCCAGAACTGGTAATTAAATAATGTACTTACATTGTATCTGTTCAATATATGCAATGCAACTCCTTATTTGCACTTTTCTGGGGATTGATGAAAGATGGTGTAAATCATGGGAAATGTAAATTGCAGGAAATGCAGAAATTGTATGCTTCATCATAAACTTTTATCAGAATGCTCAGAAAATAAAGCACATACGAACATTTTTACAGCATATGATTCCCGGAAACTAAAATCATGCAGTATCATGATACAAGTTATGGATGATGCTACACTATGACATTTTTTGTTTTGTCTTCTTCCAAAAATAATCCGTTATCTTTCACACTGTTCTGCATTTTATTAAATGACATGACAGTTTTTAATTATTGTATTCAGAATTGATGCTGATAAACCATGTTGTTTCAGCAAGGAAATGGAACCTCCCGTGTATTTGTAAATATCATGTAGTATTATCAGCGTTAAACTGTTCTTTACATTCTGTCATAAGTGAAGAACATCTTATGGGCCAGTTCTGTCTCTCTGTTGCCCCAGTCAGCAGAGATTGTGTTGCCGGATACATGATGGCATATCAGCACCCTTCATTTTTATATGGAAATAATTAAAAAGCTCTTTCAGAAGTGCAAAGGAGCAAAACCCCTTGAAGCCACACAACTGAGATCCGTACCTTTCGATCTTGCCAGAACATTTTTAGGGAGGCATTTCCCTGATCTCCAGCAACCCACAGGAACAAGGAAGCATGCCAGCAAGAAACGTGTGGTGTGCATGCAAAAGGATGACAGAAGTAATACAGAATAAAGGTGTAGAGATCGTAATGTTTTACTTTGTCCAGTTCTCTGGTTCTCCATTTATCACACTCCTCAAGGGAAATAAGTTTATTGGAAGATGTCTGCAGAAGGAAAGAATGGCAGTACAATTTGGTACGGTAAAATTTTACATGCATTCAGACTCAGTCAGGTAAAACCAGACCCTGAAATGAGACTTGGCACATTCTTGCTCAAACAAAATTTAAAATTTGAGAGCTGTCTCCCCGCGTAAAGGGTTGAACGTGAACACTCTATATCTTCTTATGTGTTCTTCCGTTTCTGTTTTATGCCCCATTTCCATGTGATTCCGTTGTTACACGGGCATATTCGTATACACGTTATTTTATTCTAAATATTGTTGTGATCTTTCTTGTGTAGGAAGGAATTTCAAGAGTAGGTCAGCTTCCATTATCAACAGTGAGTTTGCGTCAGTGGGAGTTTGACTCTTTGCTCAGAATGAGAACCCTGGAACAGCTCACTTCTGCCAAGCTGACACTTCAGGTAAATATGAGTGTTAGCGTAGTAAAAGAGCAAATACCAGCGATTAAATACTTGTGCGGAGAACTTCAAAATAATTTTTGAACGGAAAATGACCGTGACAGGCCGCTGTTCTTGTGGCAACAGAATTGCGATGAAAGGCGAAACAATGCAGGATGCACAGGTTAAGCGCACAGCCAGTGTGCAACCAAGCGTTCTAATGTTGTCAACCTGGTGTGATACTTTCAAAATGCCTATAGTTTTAGGAGTTTCTCTTACAATCCAACTTACATTTTTCTTGTAACTTCTGCTTTACATAATGAAAACGGCTCGTCTTTCTCTGCTTCTAAGCACTACTTCACTCTTCAGGCGTGCTTCGTGCTCTGGTGAACAGTTGAACACCGTATGGGCCTGCACACATCTGTCTATATCATGTTTCCCTGGGAGGTGGGCAGCTTGCTTGACCAGCGTAATTGTTTTATTGTTGGAAAATGCTGCAGTGTCACAGTCCACATTAGTACAGCAACGGCCGACATGCGAAGAAAACCTTTGGAAGCACACATTTCACATCTCCACAGTAACAGAGAAAAAACATTTCACAGTATTTTGTGGTGTGCTGGATTAACAATGCGAAAGAACTGGACGATAAAGACAGTGTTGATGCATATGTAAGTAGACGAGTGATCTGGAAAAGGAAAGGTATTATGATTAATGAAAACCAAATCCTTTTTACCGGCTGAGCAAACTTTGAGACCAGCTGCAAGGAGCATATGAGGCATATCAGGCTTGAACAACCTTAAAAGTCTGCTGTGGCGGAACATAGCATAAATACAGGGCACTGCATAGACTTCCGTAGGACCTCTGTGTTGGACATGGCATCAGGATATATGGACTGGGTTTTAAAAGAAGCCATTGGACAGGGATGATGGTTTCACTCTGGGCCGGGCCTGGTTTCCTGTAACAAAACTGCTGTCCGCCCAGAAGGCCAAAGCCAGCCAGTGCGAGCACATAACCCCAACTGCCAATTCGCCTTGGCCAGCATGAAACAAAGCAAGAGACAGGCTACCAGCAACATCTTACTACCTGCCATCGGCCACCAGTTCCCAGCAGCGAGCGTGTAACAAAGGCTCAGACTGGTTACCAAGCAGCCCTGAGGATGAGAACAGAGATCGTTGTCTAAACGTTGGCAGAAGATATGGTCTATTCACCGTTCAGCCACCTGTCGCGGCTTGTAACCCGAGAGTCTTTCATCAACTGCAGTCGCCACGAAAGCCTCACTTTATACGTTAGCATTGATCTGCTTCTCAAATTGAACTCTCTGTTAGGTTGGTTGGTTGCTTTGTTGGTTAGTTTGTACATATATTGTGTAATCTTCAATAAGTATTTTTTAAGCTCATTATAGACACTTATCAACTATCTTTCATTTGTTCACAGTCTCTGTCACAACTTCTTGGAAAAATCAGCAACATTGTCATTAATGATGCTGTTGGTAACTCTATATACCAAGTTGTGGACTGTGTTGAACGTGCAGCTCATTTGCTCAAGATCGGACAGCTGGACGAAGCATTTAATGAATCAAAAAAAGCATTTTTGTCTGCTGAAGCTGCGTTTACAGATCCATCTCTTCTGGCATTGCTCTATTTCCCTGATGATCAGAAGTAGGTCAATAATATATATATTTTTTAATAGGTTGTTTGTCTCATGTTGTCTGATGACTTAGACTAGCGCTGCCTTACATAAAAAACACTTTCTGCTTATGGCAGCAATGTTGTGCTGTACTTCGTTTCTGTATAGTCCTTTGTGAAGTCTTAAATTAATTAACTGTCGTGCATTCTCAATTCATAACAGAAAATAACTTAATGTTGCGGTGTTTTGTCATATTTCAGGTACGCAGTGTATATCCCATTGTTCCTGCCAGTGATGATTCCGGTCGTCATGTCACTGAAGAATATCTGTGCTTGGTTTTCGGGCAGAATGTGTTCCAAACACAAGCTGAAGAAAGAATGATTTAATTCTTCAACTGTTAGTGTTTGTTTCCTGGTTCATTTACATTTTGCTGCAACTTTTTAACATATATAAATAATGATCTGTTTTTATGTTGTAATTTGGACTTTAACCCTTTGCGGTCCTATGTCGGACTGAGTCCGCCACGTGGTTTACGAATTTTATACATGATCTGGAGTCAAGCTGAGGCTGGCAAACAGCGTCAGCATTCAAGCCTTTATCTGTGCACTAGTTCTATCCAAGTTTTCCTGGTAAGACTTTGTGACCCTTATAATGGTGTAATAGTGAAAGCAGGCAGGAGAGAAACGTCGTTTTATCGTGACACATGTAAGGAAGCCGGGACTCCACCCCAAGTGTTTTGCCATATATCACACAGTGAAGAAATACCATCGAGTGTGTGTAGCTGTCATATTTACTTAGAAGAGAAATATTTTATATCTGATAAAGTTATAAAACAAATATCCCATTTTCCTAGTAGGAAATTCTATTTTTTAAATTCTTTTTGATGCATAGAGCAATCCGCAACTGATATATGTATATTCATTTGTCTTCTTATCAAGCATTCTTTATGTGTACTGACTTAATCATTCACACTTCACGTTCTGTTTCACTTTTATGGTCTTGAACTTACGAACACAAACAGCAAAAAAAGAAGCACAGCTCTGAGATTATGAAATCCAATGCTTATACATCGTATATCTGCACGCAATAAGATATGTTTAGATGTTGCCAAAGTCACATCTATCGACTTGGTCATCCTTTATTCTCTGCCGAATGACAGCAAGCAGATAGGCACCATTTACTACACATCTCATTAGCGACAGTGGTACAGTCCGTGAAAAATATTCACACAGACAGTATTCAAACAGTAGGAACTGTTATCCTTTCAGAACATATTTTCATCACATTTAGCAAAGTTTCTTCCATTTTATGCAAGTTATAAAAGAAAATCAAACCAGTTCATAATAGTAGTTTATTTTCCTTACCTTAGCGGTATTTAAATTGGACCGCAAAGGGTTAAACCACCTCCACCAAAAAACTGCATGTACAGTCATACATTAAAGCCGACTTTCATTTACACAAATGTATAGAATATCTCACCTGACAGCTTTCAAAAATTAAACCACCAGAGCAAAATCTTGACATACACAGTTTTGTAGGTAGAAGAGAATTCAGATATTGATAACAGAATTTACAAATACATTAGTCACAGTCATATATTTCAATGAAAATCTCAACAAGAAAGAAACCTTGTTGAACAAAGTGTGTTTTTATCTTACCAGTGATGGACGCAAAAATTAAATGAATGTTCGCAGCTAACTTGCCACAAGAACATATGACACGTTCAGTAACTCAGTTATCACAGCAAGCTGTTTCATCTGTCTTCTGCATGTACCACCTACTGACCAGTTAAGCGCACGGAAGCACAGAATGGTGTTAACTGCTAATTGAGACGCTCTGCGTATCAGTTAGCTCATCATGGGGTATAAAGTAGGAAATGACAGATTCAGTAAAAACCAACGTGTGCTGTTAAAAGGAAACACAGCGTTTTTGGAAACAAAATGCATTCATACCTTGAATGAGTCTTTTGCTTCGACTTCCTTGACTTCGAGCGTTCATCTTCCTTCTTATGTCTGAGAGACCGAAAATGTGAATGAGAAGGGGGTGATGCATGACATCTGGAATTTATAAACATAAAGAAATTTTAGAATACTAAATTCAATTACAGTTACCTAATAACATACCTACATCCTTTGAAAATGTGGTGTGAAGTTCACACATCTGGGAACAACATCAACAAATAAGAAAGCAACATGCAAAATCTAAGAGCAGAATAAATTGATACCACACAGTTTGTTTTCCCATCTATCTAAAAATGCATGGAATAAAAATATATATAACCCTGTAATTTTATTGGTTGGTTCTTGTGTGAAACAGTTTCCCAATGCCCAATAAAGAACACAGCTTGCTTGAGAACAGGGTACTTAGGACCTATTTGGACATAAAAAGGATGAAGTGACGAGAGGCTGGAAAAATGTGTATAATGAGGAGCTCTGTAGTTGGTACTCTTCAAAAATATTATTAGCTCAATCAAATAGAAGAGGATGTAAGGAATGGGGAATGTTGCACAAATGGGGAAATGAGAAATGCGTACAAAACTTTTGTAGGAAAGTCTGAAGGGAAGAGACCACTCACAAGACATACATGGATGTGGAGAGAGAACTAAATGGATTTTTGGGAAACAGGGTTTGGGAGAATGAATTGGATTTATCTGGCTTTGGAAAGGGACCAGTGAACACAGTAATGAAGAAACAATATGTGAGGAATTTCTTCACTACTATACGCCATGTAGGCACTTGGGGGTGGGGAGGAAGTATAACTCCTACTCATTCTTAATATCAGCACTAGATGGGGTGAGCGAACAGTGTCACGCCACGGCAGTGCTTTACCCCCAGGAAAGGACCCCAGTACCCCTGGACAGGAGGCTGGCTGGGCCCCAGAACCAGTCTGGACACAGAGGCTAGAGGAAAAAATCTCTGCTCCCATTATGGACCAAACCATGGTCATCCAGTCTGTAGCCAGTAACTATACTGACATTTTAAGCCCTTAGAATTGTCATAACAAATACAAAATGTTTACAGTGAAATACACAACTTAGGCCAGTGGACAATATCGTGACACATGTAAGGAAGCCGGGACTCCACCCCAAGTGTTTTGCCATATATCACACAGTGAAGAAATACCATCGAGTGTGTGTAGCTGTCATATTTACTTAGAAGAGAAATATTTTATATCTGATAAAGTTATAAAACAAATATCCCATTTTCCTAGTAGGAAATTCTATTTTTTAAATTCTTTTTGATGCATAGAGCAATCCGCAACTGATATATGTATATTCATTTGTCTTCTTATCAAGCATTCTTTATGTGTACTGACTTAATCATTCACACTTCACGTTCTGTTTCACTTTTATGGTCTTGAACTTACGAACACAAACAGCAAAAAAAGAAGCACAGCTCTGAGATTATGAAATCCAATGCTTATACATCGTATATCTGCACGCAATAAGATATGTTTAGATGTTGCCAAAGTCACATCTATCGACTTGGTCATCCTTTATTCTCTGCCGAATGACAGCAAGCAGATAGGCACCATTTACTACACATCTCATTAGCGACAGTGGTACAGTCCGTGAAAAATATTCACACAGACAGTATTCAAACAGTAGGAACTGTTATCCTTTCAGAACATATTTTCATCACATTTAGCAAAGTTTCTTCCATTTTATGCAAGTTATAAAAGAAAATCAAACCAGTTCATAATAGTAGTTTATTTTCCTTACCTTAGCGGTATTTAAATTGGACCGCAAAGGGTTAAACCACCTCCACCAAAAAACTGCATGTACAGTCATACATTAAAGCCGACTTTCATTTACACAAATGTATAGAATATCTCACCTGACAGCTTTCAAAAATTAAACCACCAGAGCAAAATCTTGACATACACAGTTTTGTAGGTAGAAGAGAATTCAGATATTGATAACAGAATTTACAAATACATTAGTCACAGTCATATATTTCAATGAAAATCTCAACAAGAAAGAAACCTTGTTGAACAAAGTGTGTTTTTATCTTACCAGTGATGGACGCAAAAATTAAATGAATGTTCGCAGCTAACTTGCCACAAGAACATATGACACGTTCAGTAACTCAGTTATCACAGCAAGCTGTTTCATCTGTCTTCTGCATGTACCACCTACTGACCAGTTAAGCGCACGGAAGCACAGAATGGTGTTAACTGCTAATTGAGACGCTCTGCGTATCAGTTAGCTCATCATGGGGTATAAAGTAGGAAATGACAGATTCAGTAAAAACCAACGTGTGCTGTTAAAAGGAAACACAGCGTTTTTGGAAACAAAATGCATTCATACCTTGAATGAGTCTTTTGCTTCGACTTCCTTGACTTCGAGCGTTCATCTTCCTTCTTATGTCTGAGAGACCGAAAATGTGAATGAGAAGGGGGTGATGCATGACATCTGGAATTTATAAACATAAAGAAATTTTAGAATACTAAATTCAATTACAGTTACCTAATAACATACCTACATCCTTTGAAAATGTGGTGTGAAGTTCACACATCTGGGAACAACATCAACAAATAAGAAAGCAACATGCAAAATCTAAGAGCAGAATAAATTGATACCACACAGTTTGTTTTCCCATCTATCTAAAAATGCATGGAATAAAAATATATATAACCCTGTAATTTTATTGGTTGGTTCTTGTGTGAAACAGTTTCCCAATGCCCAATAAAGAACACAGCTTGCTTGAGAACAGGGTACTTAGGACCTATTTGGACATAAAAAGGATGAAGTGACGAGAGGCTGGAAAAATGTGTATAATGAGGAGCTCTGTAGTTGGTACTCTTCAAAAATATTATTAGCTCAATCAAATAGAAGAGGATGTAAGGAATGGGGAATGTTGCACAAATGGGGAAATGAGAAATGCGTACAAAACTTTTGTAGGAAAGTCTGAAGGGAAGAGACCACTCACAAGACATACATGGATGTGGAGAGAGAACTAAATGGATTTTTGGGAAACAGGGTTTGGGAGAATGAATTGGATTTATCTGGCTTTGGAAAGGGACCAGTGAACACAGTAATGAAGAAACAATATGTGAGGAATTTCTTCACTACTATACGCCATGTAGGCACTTGGGGGTGGGGAGGAAGTATAACTCCTACTCATTCTTAATATCAGCACTAGATGGGGTGAGCGAACAGTGTCACGCCACGGCAGTGCTTTACCCCCAGGAAAGGACCCCAGTACCCCTGGACAGGAGGCTGGCTGGGCCCCAGAACCAGTCTGGACACAGAGGCTAGAGGAAAAAATCTCTGCTCCCATTATGGACCAAACCATGGTCATCCAGTCTGTAGCCAGTAACTATACTGACATTTTAAGCCCTTAGAATTGTCATAACAAATACAAAATGTTTACAGTGAAATACACAACTTAGGCCAGTGGACAAAAAGCTAAGTAACTCAATTTAGATAATACATCAACTCTTGTGCAGTTAATGTCCAGTGTGGTATTTCATAAAGTGTGACCTTTTATGCTTTATAACAAACCATCATGTTATGAATTTATGGTTAATATGAATTAATTTTTTTGCCACTGATGATGACCTCTTGAGGTCAAAACGTGTTTGGCACCAAGTGTCTTTTCAAAGTGCAAACATTTTGATTGCATGCAAGATTTTAAGATGAACCCTCTTACCGCCAAGCTGTTTCATATACATTAACACTCAATGTTCCCCCTAAAAGAAGCAGGAAGTGTTTAGCATCATATATTTCACATACATGCTGGAGCACACACCCACCCACCCAAGCCCACACGTGCTTGCACGCACACACACACTCAACTGGTCATAAAATTTTCTCAACTTTCCTATAAGCAGCACTGAAGTTGCCTGGCACAAAAAATGTTCAATAGCAATTTTAAAAAAAATCAGAACAGAAAAGACATTACAATGTTGATCATGTACTTTTTATGTAAGCCTGATATTTTCTTCTTCTTCTTCTTGTGTCTGTGCTTGTCAGTCACATGACCGTGATTCTGACCCTTCAAACTACTCGTGCTGTGGTCACTGTTACTGCTTGAACTTGCATTCCTTCGCTTCACCCCTTGTGTCAAAGCTTCAACAGAGAAAACACAAACAGGACTTGTACTACAATGTTTTGTAGGCTGGAGTTTCCTATGATAACAGCATTTTAAATAAAAGCTAAGCAAGTGCTTCCAGCAGTGTTCAATGTTTCTGAACATGTTAAACAAAATCTTCCTTCCCAATCCTGCCCAAATTAAGGAACTTCAAGACCCATGGCCAAATGAAAGACCACAACCCTTTTCATACTGACATACATGAATTCAGCATTTCAGCTACCCAGGTCAAGGTACATATACAAAGATTTGTATTTTCCAACACAATCAAATATTGAAAACACTATTATCATATTACAGGCACAAAAAATTATTCAGCAGATCATTAGAGAGTCCAACTATGTCCACTGAACAAAACAATTGAGCAGAAGTGAACTGCATGAAAAGATGTACAAATGCAAAGGAATTACCCTACTTTTAATTTGGCAAATTCTGGCACATTTTGATCAAAAGATAATTTACATGTTAAACAACTGCTGACAAAATCATCAATGTGCTCAATTTATTTTCACCCAAAACACCAGTCTTTTTTTTTGTATGTGAGGGGGGGGGGGCACTTACCTTACCTTTGAAAAGACTACTCTGATGAAGTCATTCACAGGAACGGTTAAGGTGTAATTTGTGATATACATAGCTGTGAGAACATCCATTAACATTTTATTAAAGTAGCCACACTGACAACAGATTCTTCAGATACCAAATGCTCTATGTTAGCGTGATATGCTTAAAAAAGATCTTCTATTTCCTTTCATGTGATACAGTCATCGGCATTGGTGGCGTCTCTGCTTCTTGTAAGGACTCTAAATCTTATGCAAACTTCACTATAGGTCAAAATTATTTAACCAACTTGTGCTTAAACTTTATCCAGTATCACATTTAAGGCTTTAATCTGAAACATTTTGCTTAAAAATCTGTGGAAAACAAAGATTCTTGCTAATTCAATAGTGTCTTCTCTCTTTTTCATCCCCATAGTTCAAGAATTTCATCCCCCTACTGCTTGATAATATTTATTTTGAACATTCTTGCAAGGCACTCTGCAGCTGTTACAAATTCAATCACTTTTTAAACAGAAAATGAAGTTGAAAATAAACAGTTTTTTTCTAAAAATTAGACTCTCACTGCTTGGAAAAGACATTTCTCATAAATGTGTTCTTGGTGTATACTCTGTGGTTCAATCAACATCAAACATTTTATAGTTTACTGGGGATATGACAGGACATAAGAGGACAGTACGAAGAAAGTCTTACCTTGTACTCGAGCATACAAGGAAGTTGTCTGAGACTGCGCATTGCCATTGTGTTTTGGATTGAGACGATCTTCCAATTCCTGACTGAAAAAAAATTTTTTACATAAAAACAATATGTGCTACAAATGACATGAAACTGCATATAAATTTTAAGTCAATTACACTATCCTTTATTAGACAATTCCATAGTATTTAATGATTCTATATCAATTCTAAAGGTCATGCAGCATCTAATAATATGATATGATGAATTGTCAAAATTAAAAAAAAATAGAAAAATAAAATCAACGAATATGAGATAGATGGGGCATGCAGCTTGCAGGGAGAGGTGAGAAATGTCTACTTAAGTAGAAAACAAAATGATTCAGGCCACTTCATACACATAGGTATAGATGGGAGGACATTAAAGAAATAAGGTATGAGAAACTGGGTAAATGGGTGACTGGATTCAGCTGGCTCAGAATATGGCCAACTGGTTGTATTCTTTTGAGCAATGTAATGAACAAGATTATTCATTACCATGGAACCTAATTTCAGGTTCCATAAAAGAACCTCTTGACTAGCTGAGTGACTATCAGCTTCTCAAGAAGAATGGTTTCATGCACTTAGTTATAAACAGAACAGGTTAGACACAGTGTAGTTTGACGTACTGACTAACCCAATGTTCAAGATATTTTGAAGGTAAAATATCTTATATAACCTTTGTGTTTCAACATACTTCAAGAGCATAACCATGTTCCAGTACTGGACAGATCTGAAGAAGTTAATTTCTGGACAATCAAGCACAGATGCACAACTACTTAACGTAAAAACTACTGTCTGAGTAATGAAGGCAGATGGTAGCTTCCACCACTTTGTCTACCAGCAGTGATCTACCTCTTCTGGAATCCTCCCACCTATCACCATTGGCCTTCAGAACTCAGTCAACCAGTAAATTCCACTTCTAGGACTAAGACAGATTCTCAACCAACTACACACACAACGAAGTTGTTCAGGCCCACCACTTACTGGTACACAATTCCACGCACTTCATATTTAACCTTTAACATCTGATAATTTTAAAGCAAAAATCAGTAACTGCAAATTAATATCAATGCATGTGGGCATATAGTCAATAAATGAAATAAATAAACTTGAAAACTATACTGAACCTACAGTGTAACAAATGGAATGCTTAGCTTCCTACACTGCTGTCAGAAACAGTGCTAAAAGAAGTCTGGAAAGCTAGATGACATTTAAGAATTCAGAAACTGAACCAATAATGTGTAATGATACAACAGAATTTCCACGTAATTTCTTCCACGTGTAGGAAAAAAGTAAACATAAACTGAAATTTTCTACTCTGAAATAAGTTTCAAAATATAATACTTTGGTAAACAGCATGATACTTTTGAAGACATGACACTACTGACAACATTTCTGAATGCATTTAATCCTTTGACACAATTATCTAAACCTCTAAATCAGGTAACAAGCAGAATAATTTTCATATGTTTTCAGTTTTTTGTAGGAAGAATTAAAACCGTTCATAATATTTGGTCACTGCTATGACAGTTAATAACAGAAAAAAACCCAAGCTCGCTTTACAAATAAAGGGCTATAAACAGAAACATCACGAGATTGAGAAAAAGTATATAAAACTTGCCTCACCTCCCATTACCTATGTGCTGTGGTGAAGATACGTCATAGAGAGACGCTGGAGAAGGAACAGACGATACTTCTCCTTCATCACCACTAACTCTCTGCACTGGTGCACCATCAGGAAGCTGGGGACCTACAAAAGAGACTCTAAATATCTTCAAGAATACAAACTTTCATCATAACACAGAGGGTCAAGATAATAAACTCTACAAAGCAGGATCCTTCTTGAGAAGCTGATAGTTGCTCAGCTAGCAAAGAACCCAAAGTTTCTAAACCATGTTCACAAAAGCCTGCCACTTACCCCTACCACAAACAAGATGGATCCATTCCACAACCTAACACCTCATTCTTGTAAGAGCCACCTTAACGTTGCCCTCCCATATACGCACAGGCTTCCAAAGTGAAATCTCTGATCGAAATTTAGAGATGCCAGCTGATATCAATAAATCAACTCATCATAGAAGGAAATTTGATATTGTCATAAGCTATGAGAGGTATAAAATTTTAAATTATTCAAAAATACTGTGAAGAATGGAACTCAGTCCACTGCATAAAATTTGGGAGGGCTTGATAAGTTACTGGAGAAACAAAATGTACCCATTCTCTTTTGTGTATGTCTTACAGAGGCAACAGACAACAGTGCTACCTGTACATTCATTCTCCAAATTCAGGTATACTGAAAGCCACAGCTGTGTCCGTCATATCACAGCCTGATCATGTGATCTTCAGCTTTGTGATTCTGCTCTTATATGAAGAAACAACACCTAAACACCTTCCCATTTTTCTTCATAGATCAGAATAAGTGCAGGAAGAGTAGAAGTTCTCCAAAATCAAGTGGAAAAGTGCTTTGCTGATGCCATCATTTTGAGGGTATTTTATGGTCCACTAGCATGCTCTTGTGAACACAATAAAAATTTTCAGGTTCTTTAGCATAAAACATCCAGCAGGGATATTCAATGGCAATATGGTGAATGGTAAAACAAAAAAGTACCAACACAGAGATGCAGTAAGGCAACAGCCAGAAGAAAGAAAGAAAATTCACAAGCCAAATACAGGAAACCAGATTGTGCTGGAGACATAAATCAAATGAAATATTTGCTTTGGGTTTATAAATGTTACAGTGCAATACTACTTATCAAAAACTATGGATTCAAACATTGAAAAGTCATCAAATGAATAAAAGCAAACTGGTGGTCTCTTAAATCAGTTTAAGAGTAAATTAGAAATTATTTCCGATGAAAAGAATCAACAACTTGTAATGTGTCACAACAACAGACAGAGATCAATTTTAACAGTTGTGCAAGGGCATTTCATTCTGACATATACGTTTTCTTCTTGTGCCTTTATAAAGTACATCATGCAATAAACCATACATTTCAGGATATGTATAAAACATTCTATGGTTACCTATGATAGGAGGATCAAGGGCTCCCAGTGGATGATCTTTGCGTATCATATTTATAAAGGCAGCAGCTCTTCTCTTTCGCTCCAACTGCAGTTGCTTCTCCCGAGCCGCAGCTGCAATTTTTTCCCGAGCTGCAGCTGCTAACTTATCCTTCACTCGTTCTTCGGCTATAAAAAGAATGCTTTTTAAGGAACAGATTTCAATACGCTGTAACATTTAACAAAACTAAAATACCAAAACTCAGCTTTCAAACAAATAATGTGTGGTAACTACAGCATGGTTTCAAACCTTTAACCCATGACAGAAAGTGACATTGGTGCTACTAATTGCCTTATCACAATTTCCAAAGCATTCATGTGTGTTATCCATCGAATGACAAAATGTCATTTTAACGAATGCCATAGAAACTAAATATTCGGTATGAAAATTTTTTCTGGACCCCACCATTTACTACATTCTTCAGGTAAAAATGTTTTCCTTTAATGAATATCAATGCAAGAAAAACATCAGTTTAACGCAATAAAAATCCACCCCACAACAAAAAAATATAACCAGTATAACAAAGTTTGTAAGCACAAAATAATTAAATAATATGGCGCACACTTTACGAAATCAGCAACTGCATATGAGTGACAGAGACGGGAAAAAAACAGGAAGGAGTAACAAAGGATCACAAAGGTAGGCTCGTTACAGAAAACTACAAAAATGCGCACAGTGGCCGTCACGACATTTCATGGGAGAACCCCCATGAATAGAAACCACAAATAAAAACCATCCCCCATCTCAACCGCAACCCAAGAACACTAGTCAAGCAATGCATTCCACCCTGCTACTGCAGAACAGCATCACTTAAGAAGGGTTTACGTTGGCCGATCGCATGACTTCAGCAGCATGACCAAAACTGAACACTGAAACTGTTTTAACACGATCATTCAGTGAGCGTTTCGACTTAAGTATAAAAGGCGCATTTACATTGGCCAATGAGTCAAATGATGCCGTGCTTCGATGCCATCAATTGGCGAGCACTTTGATTCAACTCAAGTAGAAAGACTCCCCTTTCATTCTATTCGATTGTCGCCACATGACTAAATCACCTGTGTAAACATCCACAATCTAAACTTTCAATTATCCTGCAAATTGTATCTATTACGTTGTTAATTTATAAAAATTGAGTACAGATCCAGCTGCTATGCATAGCATAACAGTGGAAATGAACTTCACAATGACTGGAAGTAACTTAAAAATAGAGACACGCTCAAAACCTGGAAGCTGCACAAATGAGATTCCCCGAGACCATTATTAGGCCTTACAAGATTGGACCACCAGAGAAATCCTGACATTCGCAATAGGTAAAAGTGAGCAACGTAATAGAATATATAAAATTACATCAAAGGAGCTGGTTAGACCACCCAGAAAGAATGGACAGAAGCCGCTTACCCAAACGACAGGCTGCTGAAGACCCAAGAAAAGATGGAAGAGAACAGTAAAATTTTCAGAAAGTTTACTGAGAAATCACTACTAAAACAGGCTGTGCAGAAAAAAATTAGGGACTTTTCTATGGAGTAAACATGGATTGGCTGTCCGTCCGTCCGTCCGTCCGTCCTCCTCTCCCCCCCATATACCTATCACTCCAATATTTTTAATGTGTTTGAATGTAACAAAACTTCATTATGAATATAATTTCTTAACCTGCACAGTTTCATTATACAGACATTTCACTGTAGTATTAACTGGAGGTTTCTATATTTGTAATTTTCAGTTTAGTTACTTGGAAGAGGAGGCAGTCATTCTTAGTCTGAACACAAACAACAACATCCACATACCCCATTTGGCCTTGTCTGTACTTCCTCTTTTTTCCCTGCTGCTACTGTTTTCATCAACTGTCACAATGCTTCCTGATGATGGTTGTGCTGTAGGCGTACTCTCTGTGAGATCAATTGTCTCAATCTCATTTTTTATTTCCTTCTCTTCTTTAACAGAATTCTCTTCTACCTTTTTCTTTTCCTCAACCTTCACTTTGTCTTTATCTCTCTCCTGACCTTCTTCTTCGTCTGAACTCTCTTCCACTGGCAAGGCACTACGCTTCTCCAACAGCAAAGCTTCGGAATCTTTTGGTTTCTTTATTGAGAAGCATACGGGCGCTGCA